ACACACACACACACACACACACACACACACACACACACACACACACAGAAAAATCAACCAACATATCACTCACCGGAGCATAAAATTTCATATCCCTATGGCAATAGTGCATTGTGTAAGAGTGTGTAAGTAAGTTTTACAGCTCATTGGTACAAAGCAGTCATGTGTTTGTACGGGCTCTCATTTGTGGATCTCCATATGTGTTTGCGTGTTAACCTTTAAGTTTCCTCTAACCTTTACTTATGGTATGGCTGCTCAGCCTTTCTATCTGGGTGTGTTCACTAAAGCCAAGGTCATGGTAATAGGCTAGAGAGGTGAGTGCCTCACTTATACATACTCTTAATGCACAGAGCCACTGAATCAAATCATTAAAAAGACCTTAATTATCACTTAATTATTCCCACAACTCACCACTCTGCAGCCAAGGCTGTGTGTGAATGTGTGAGTGGGTGTGTATACTTGTGCGTTGTGGTGCATGTGTGTGCTTGCATATGCATTTGTCTGTGTGATTAGGAGGCGATCAGGCCTAGTGACGCAGAAAAGAGAGATTAACTCCACCTAAGGAGCGATAAAAGAGAGGGAAGCGATGGAAAAAACAGAAGGAAAAGCAAAAAGGAATGAGTCCGCATTCAGACCGAATTAAAGGCAAGACGGAACATCATGAGGAAAAAAAGCTGTAAATTCTGCAAAAATGAAACTATGGCCGGGATGACATTACTGGATAATTTGAAACAGCTTTGCTCAAAAAGAGCATTACATTGCACAGAATGTGTGGTGAGGATGGGCGGCAGCGTGTAGCCTGCTCGCTGTGGGGTCAGACGGATGAGAGACCGAAGCAACTGCTGCACTGTGAAGTCATTCTCTCCCGAAAAGCTTCTTTGAACATTTGATGCACCATGAAACAAAGACAAACTGCACACGGACACATGTACAAGCTGTTCTCAAGAGGATACCCCCCAAAATCCCCTCACCCACTGTCTTCTCATAAACACACACACACACACTTTGTGGTCAGGGAAAGTTTTGCTCTCTGCCTCACGCTCCCCTTTTGCAAGATTACAATCTTAATGGAGCTTCCTGGGTAAATTAATGATTAGTAATTCAAACAAATAGACAAGCTGTAGCCACTCAGAGGAAACTGTGTATGGGTGCAAGAATGCAAAAGTATATTTATATTAATCTTTCCATTAAACATAAAGTTTCATATGTATTAATTCTGGTAGTGCAAAGAAAACCTAAAAGTGTCAGTTGAAATATCCACTCCCTCTGTCTGCCTATAACTATAGCGGAGGACGTATAAATAACCATACATACCCTGGGGCTATTTCTCTTATCTTCTCATGTTATGAAACAACCCCAGTAAAGATTTATTGTTTCGAACTTTTGGCAGTAAAGAATGGGAACATTCACACCTAGCAGGTTTTTTCACGACAGCGACCCGCAGAATACATTAAACCTGAAAGTATCCTACTCAGGAAAATTCACATGTGCATTTTTTTTCTCAGGTTCAAAACAGCCATGCTCAGCCTTGTAAACTGTGTGTGTTTACTCATCGCAGTACTTTCAGATTTACATTTTCTGGTCATGTTATCTAACCCTCAACAATACGCTCGCCTTCAGGTGCATTTCTGCTCCGTTGCCTGTGCGCGTGCCTGTTGTGTGCCACAATCAGTCCTTCCTTTACAGAGGTTGAACTCTGTGAATAATCCAGCGGGGCTTAGCTTTGACATACGCAATCACCTTGTCACACAGCTAGACGCAGCACAGCAGCTGCATGATGTACCACGGCAGCCTGTGTCTGCTCTGCCTTCACTTGTTGCATGTGGTTCGTCAATAAATGGCACATCACCACAACAATCAGCTGTGGTGTTACCCGAGAGCAGAAGAACTGAAATAAGATCCAATGATTGAGATTAGAATGTGTTGTTTGATGACCACAAATCAATTCAATGTTGTTATCGTGTTGTTGAGGCCAAACTAAGTCACTGAGTCAATGGCCTTTATTTTATTTCTCCACCCATCTCTTCATGCTGCCTCTCCGTTTTGGTGTCTGTCTCTAGTTACAGGAGTATTATAAGAAACAACAGGAACAGTTACATCTCCAGCTTCTGACTCAGCAGCAGCAGCAACAGCAGCAACAACAACAACAGCAACAGCAACAGCAGGCCGGGAAGCAAGCGGCAAAAGAGGTGAACTTGACCAAGTACACTCTCGCTCAGCTAAAGCACACACTGAACAACGTAATCTCCCTTAAATGCAGTGAAAGTGACTGACAACAGAGAGAGATGAAAATAAAAAAAGGATCAAATAGATGTTTTGATTTATAGAATGTAGGACATTGGAATTTGTTGTTTCAAAGTATGCTTGATGTTGAGTGTGTAGCTGCCAAGTCAATGTGTGTGAGCAAGGGCTGTGCCAAGCATATTCTACCGTGCCAACATATTTGTCTGCCTTCTTCACAAGACTGAGTGGGAAACTCTTTGTACAACAGTCTGCCACTCTTTGCTATTAATGGTCAATTAACACCACAGACACAGTTTGCCTCCCTGCTTTCACTTCCCCTCTCAGACATAAATACGAATATACATGAGTGCACACACTTTGCAATTCAAGCAACAGGAAATGCAACAGGTTATCATAGGATAAACTAGGATTACTTTGTGACCGAACATGGACTCAATCAAATATGATTACGAACATAGCATGCGTGTACAAGACGCTTTTGCATTTGGGCCATGTGTTTTTGCTCATTAGCACAAAACTTCTCGGCTCTGGGAGAAATACTTCAGCTGAAATGTTTTTTTTCTGATCAACACACGGGGAGACACATTCTAGATTTGTCCTCCGCTTCCTCCTCTTCTTTATCATTTTTCTCCCAGTGGGCAGAGCCTTTCCCTACCCCCTAACTGACAGTGGGGGCGACCAACTGGACCGTGACCAAAGCTAACCAGTTGTGGTTGACTCGCATGTTGAGAGGGTGTCTGAATCCCGCTCCCCTTTTCCCTCCGCGCCGTCCCCTGTCCCAGTTTTCAGGTTGCTTGTCCTGCAACAACCAGACAAGTGCAAACACTGGTCATGCAGCCACACATATATGAAGACAGAGAGGGAGAGGCTTGATGTGTGATGGATCACTGCTCCAACACACCCACCTGGGGGAATATGCCTCCCGGCGGGGCTGCGTACGGCTGATGAGACCGAGGTGCTCTGCAGCAGTCAGGGTTTTTCACTAGCTGTGAGGTGTCAATCAGGAGCAAAACACCACTGTTGTCATTTCTGACATTTCTCCTGGTCAAGAGCTGCAGGTGCTGTGAGGTACTGAGACGAATGTTTTGCACCGAAAGGTTTGAGTGTTTGACGGCCTTCCACTAACCGTACTGCCGTAGTTCGTGCCTCATCTTCTCTGAGCCTTAGCCATGGTAGCAGTTCCACCCAGCTAAAAGAGAAAAAAAAAGAGTAGATTAGCTGTGGAGAAAGGAGGAAGAATGAAAATAAAATCTCTGCGCATCAGTGGCTATGGCTTTTTGCCCTTTTCCTTCTCTGCTCCAATTTCTTTTCACTTTCATGTCTGAGCGGAAGTGATGCAAAGAAAAACTTAAGTATGTGTGTGTTGAGCCAGTGTTTTGTGTGTCGCTGGAGCATTTGGGACTGGTCAGGAGTCAGCTTAATGAAGTGACTCTGACCATCACAAGAGATGCCTATATGTGTGTGTGTATGTGTGAGAAAGAACGTGTGCAAGTGTCTTTGGGTGTCCATCTACTGCGCGCACGCGTGTGTATGTGTGCATCTTTGTGACTGGCAGGCTCAGACAGTGTGTGATGTGCTCATAAATCACATTGACAGCCTGTTACTGCGCTAGCTTTGGCCACTCAGCCACAGCTAATGTAAACAGAACTCAGGCACACATACACACACATAATGTGTGTTTTAAAGAACCGTAGCCATATCTCAGGAGAGAGAGAGGAGGGAGGGGAAGAAATGAAATGGACAGACAAGTTTGAAAAGAGGGGGCAGGGGGTCCAAAGCGAGAGAAAGAGAGGGTTAAACCAGTTCAGTTAGGATTCTCAGATCTTGATAAAACCATTTATTGCAACTAATGAGAATTTGGCAATTGACTTCAAAGAACGGAACTATTTCAGCATGACAGAGATTTCGTCTGTGACCATAAGACAGGTCAAATCAGCTTAAGAGGTGGATTTGCCCTGTTGTTTGGTGGGTTTTATTCACTTCCCTGTCATTTCCCTATCATGTTAAACAATGACTTCAATAGATTGTCCAGTTTCAGCGGTTGTGTGCAGAAAGTTACAAGATGACTTGACACCAACAAAGTCATCCGTGTAGATAAAAACTCAGCCAAAATAAATCATACTCTTTTACTTTTTTCATGTCATTGCCTTTCCATAGAGAGTATTTATGAATTTAAATTATAAGGAGTATTTTTCATAGAATATATGCATTGGAATTTTAGGATGAGGTAACTGACATGTGCGCACTTCAGAATAACAGACATTGTGAGACAAGACACAGTATTCATTCAGGAAATGTTGTAATATTGCCTACTCTGAAGCACTCCAGGATTCCAAATAAATAAAGTGATATCAATAATAGTTGGTAACCCTCTTAAAACTCACCCTTCACAAACGCACACAGACCCACTGCCACCACACTTGTCATCCTCAGGCACCACGTCTAAAAGCAAGTGACCTGTTTTGGCCTTCCTGTGAGTTCTTCCACATTCAGAGAGTTTCTAAGCAGCCGCTCTCATTCACACACTTGCACACACTTCCACACACACAATGAGCTGTTGTATTTATTTATTTTTCCTCTCCGCCAGTTATCAGCGAGAGATAAAGTGCATCTCTCACAGGAGTTGGTTGTGCAGGGTCAGGATGGGGAGGGGGATTCAAATAGCCCAGCACAGTGCAGGTCTGCCCCAGACTGGCTCAGCAGGAAGGGAGACATTTATCATCATAACACACACACATGGACATTATCTCCAGATGCTTTGGAGTCCTCTCCACTCTCCCTTTAAACTCCCTCAATCCCTTCGTCCCTGCTCTACATGCTCACAGTCCTCACAGCTTGATCGAGCTGCCTATCCTTATTTATCCTACAATTGTTCTGACTTTGAACTTGAGCATCTTTTAAACTCTATAATGTAATAAGGAAGGCAGACTGAATCGCATTAAGGTTATGAATTTGTTTCGAATCTCTCTTTTTTTTGTTTTTTCTTTTACTGAAGGTGTACAGACACATTCTTCCACAAGAATAAGTTATTACCTAACTTATCTAACCTCCTGAATTGTTTACTCTCTACCTCTCTCTGTGTGTCCTCTGGTGTGCAGCAGTTAGGTAGCAAGCAGCTGGCCTTCCAGCAGCAGCTTATTCAGATGCAGCAGCTTCAGCAGCAGCACATACTCAACCTCCAGAGACAAGGCCTCGTTCCACTGCAGCCCACCGCCGCCATGCAGTCTCTGCAGCAAGGTACGTGCACACACACACACATATGCATTCACAGACACAGCCCGAAACATGCGACACAGAGTGACACGGAGACACACGTGCACAAACACAGGCCTGTACCAGTGCTGTCTGTGAAGCCTGTTAAGTTATTCAGCCGATAAAAGATAAAAGGAAACTTGATTGGTGGGTTTGTGGAAAGTATTCATTTGGATAATAGGTAAAATATGCCACTAAGCCTCCTGCTTAGAGATGTGTGCGTGTGTGTGTTTGTACTTGAGATTAGCCAGACACGAGAACATCATCGTTTTGCTATGGCCGTGCCCGCTGGACTTTTCTTTTTTTTTCTATGTTTAACTTCTTCCCCAGTTCCTTAAATTTGTCAGCAGAGTTTTAGAATGATAAATGTTGACTGCTGCTGGCCCGCCCTTAGTGACCACGTATGTGCATGTGTTTGTATATGCCCTCTGTTGTCTATGCTCGTGCACAGCAGTGCGTTACACACATACACGTACGCTGTCTCACTCAGAAAATGCCTTAGGGGCTCTAAAGAGCCCGTAACATTGGTAAAGCGCTGACTGAGTTGACCAAACAGACCCGTTTCCTTCCCTCTTTCTCTGATCTCTGATCTCTGGGCTTTTTTTTCACCTCATGCAGACTCACATGCCGCCACATGCACACACACACACACACACAGACAAACAGACAAGCACAAGTAAAAAATTGTTTAAAAAGAATAACAAACTCAGTCAGTTTAATAGAAGGTTTGAATAGTACGCTTCAAATATGTTAAATAAAACTCTGGAGCTCCACCTGATTTACCAGAGATTTAAGCAGAGAAAGAGAGAGAGAGAGAGAGAGAGGGAGAGAGAGAGGGAGAGAGAAACGGCTGGATTAGATGATGCATTCGTGCTTAGAGAGTGTAATTTTTCAGACAGTTGCAAACATTTTGCTTTGGCGTCTCCTTCTCTTTCGCGCTCTCCTTCTGTATCAGGCTGGAATTTCCCTGCAGTGTGAAAGAGCTGGGCCATTGTGACGGCTCAGCCAGGCGTGAGCCTCAGCATTCCTCTGACCAGCCATGCCACACAAACACACAAACACCCATGCATAAACACTCACACAGACACACACACAAATCACATTATCAACCCCCCCCCCCCCCTCAAAGGGCTGTTAAGTTCGGTGTGTAGGCGGTGGGGGAAATATGAAGGGCTCTGCTTTGGTTTTTGTTTAGTTCTGTGGTAAGGTGGAGGCCCTCTGTAGAACTCTTATAACTCCCTTCTCATAAAGTTTACTATGTTCATTGACAAAAAATTGAAAGTAGACTAAACTAATAGGAAAAGGGGTTCTGGATAGGCTGAACTTTATCCAATTAGACTGTCATGTGCACCAGTCTTTATAAATGGAGTGACCACACCTGTCATTTTCCTTTTGGTTTGATTTGATTAGATTTTCTTGAAAATATTCCTATAAGTTAAACTATAAGTTTAACTTTGCTCTCATCCTCTCAGATTTGTTATATCTGCCAGCCATGGCCAGCTATGACCGGCAGATATAACAAATCAAAGGAGTCATTTTCCAGTCATGTTTTTTTATTACCAATCCGTTCGTCTCACACGTTCTGTTTTCCTTGCACTCATCACTCAACTACTTTAAGTTTGTTCCTATAAAATTACATATATATTGTAATTAAATAGACTCAAGTTATTTGAGCTACTTTACATTTTGACTTTGTGAAGGTGTCCACAGATTGGTTGGGTGTCTTGGATAATGAACGCACACACTCATAGAGATCTATGCACACACCACCCATTCTTCCAGGGTGAGAACTTTTATTTTGGCTGGACTGCAGAAGAATGCAGACAAAGCAGACATAATATTTGGATTGCTGCGAAGTCTCCGAAATTTGTATGCGCCGATGTGTGTGCATAGATGTGTGTACATGTACGTGTGACTGTGCATGCAAAGATCCACTGCAGTAGGCTGTTGCATATTAAGCGTCACTCACTTACTCACTGTGAAACTGGACCAGAAATAACAAAGCTGTGGGAGCTAAAAGGAGCTCAAAATTTGTACCCACACTTTTCACACAAATGGCATTGCTGATAACGTGCTTTTAATAAAGGCTCTAGGGAGTAGCGTGCTGATGGACAACACAAACTATTAAAAAAGGATAGGGAATTGACTAACATTGGCTATGCAAAATAACTTAATAATTATCATCTTACATATTTTAGTATGTCTTTTTTCCATTTATTGCTATTTATTTTCATAGCAACTTCTGCAACAGTCACATTCATTTTTATGTGGCTAAGAATAATGAGTAACACTCAGGACATCTATGATTTCTATAAACTTTGTATTTAGTTTCTTTTCTATTTAAATCTGATTTATTGATAACAATATTTCTTCATAGATTTATTTGAATTAACATGAATTCAAACCATCACATTTTGAAAGGGTATGCAAAAATAAAAGGTAACACAAGGTCAGCTTTAAATGTAACTTTGTCTCCTGTTTTGCAGCGATGTGCCCATCAGACCTCCAACAGCTGTGGAAGGAAGTATCAGGGGTGCCGAGCAGTGAGGAGGCCCTCAAACAGGCCGAGGGCCTGGACTTGAGCACCAACAGCTCCAATTCTACCTCAGCCTTCCCCAAAGCTGCAAGTGCTCACATTCCTCTGCACAGCCTGCCCAACGGACAAAGCCACACCCCAAAGAGAGACAGGTATGGGGAGTTTTTTTTTAAAGAACAAAAGGACACAATTTTGCAATAACTACAGTTTGATTGTGTGTCTGCTGACTGTGCAATCTCTAGTCTGTCTCATTCCAACAGTCTTCTAAACTTTTCTAACGGTCTTAACTATGGGTGGTTTCACACATGTATGCATGCAAACACCTATACACACAAATACAGCTGAAAATCTTGCTCTTGTGGCGTACCACACATCACCAGGGTGTAAATGTCTCTCAGCTCATTTGATAGGAGGTGTGTTGGGCTCAGTAGGCTCTGCCAGTATGCCGTCAACCACATGTTGACATGTCAGGTTGGTGTGTGGGAAAGGTGAGGGGAGGATGGTGGATTCATGAGGAGAAGTAGAAAGAGACGGTGGTGGAGCCCAGAGAGGAATTCCCCAATATTTTCTGTGGATATAACCAGGGATGGGTGCACCAGGTGTAGTTGTACTACACCTACTGTGTGGATGTGTTGTTCCATGGCTGTGTTGGCTGCTCATGGGCTTATTTCCATTTTTAAGAGCCAGACTGTTTGAGTGGATATCCTCCTTCACCAAGGCAGACAGCGGAGATGACCATGTCCCCCTTTACTCCAAAGGCAGCCAACTTCCGAGCAGCCAGTGAGTATCATGTGCATATACACACGAACATAAGAGGGACATGACAAAGATAGCGACACCCACGGGAGTGGTGTCCTTTAGCACTGATTCCATGCTTGCACCTGGAGCATTGTTGACCCAGACTTTTGACCTCATTTTGGATGGGGCCAGAATAGGTGGACAAGTGTTAATTAAAAAAGGTTTTACCAACTGAATGAAGATGTCAGACACTGACATACTACATCTACAGTGAGCTGCCTGTAGTCTGGCTTTGAGGATCCCAATGACGGTAGCATTATTGTGTTAGCCTGCAGAGCTAATGCATGGCTGATGTGGAGGAGAATGTGGTTGCCAGCAGTTTGTCATGTCTGCTGTCTGAGCTGCTTCTGAGTTGACTCAACCACAGCCAGCACACACACAAACACACACGCGTGCACTCCAGCCTGCACATCTGATCAGGAAGAGGCAAAAAGTGAGACGGAGACATGTTTCCATCTGCGAGACAAATGGTTTTTGTTAGACAACCTTCTGATGTTGATTTGAGAGAATCCCCATCCCAGTCTGCTTACGCTTACACACTCACGCACGCGTGCGCACACACACAGACAAATACACACATACGTAGTCATGTAAATATATATGGAGACAGCAGTCACGGGCAAAGGTCCAGGTCTGAACCACATCTGCTACTGGACTTGCCATACACACATGCACTGATACAGTTATTGTACCCTGCATCCAAACCAAACCTGGCCTCTCTCATTGCTACACTCACAGAGAAATACACTGACATAAACTCATAAATCCGAACAGATACACACAAAAACACACACATGGGCTCACCACAAAAGAACAACCAGCACATGACGGCAACCGCCACCAATCAGTCATGGCTGGTTGGGTCTGTGCCGGCTCAGTGTCAGCTCCCGAAACAGTAGAACACACACCAACACCAGTACACACACACGTGAAAAAACACACAGAAAGGCAGGTCGTGGACTTCAGAATATGACTCTGAGGTTGTTGGACCAATTCCCTTGTTTGCCTGGCTTCTGTAACTGACCCCACTCTGCTCTATCCTCCTTTCTTTGCACTTGGCTTCAAGACCTGCACAAACTAATCACAGCTAACCACACTCAGATGTCTGCACTGATGCTGCTGATATTACTCCTAGTTTTTTTGCATGTGTGCATTTGAAAGTATAGAAATGAGTGCGTTGCTTCTTGCTTAAGGATTGTACCTTGGTTTATTTGCCATAGACATACATAGAGTAAATAGTATCTGTTGTACAAACTCACAGCAGTCTTTTGTGTGTGTGTGTGTGTGTGTGTGTGTTTCCACAGTCACGAGGAGCATGCCGGCTCCCATCCGTTATATGGCCATGGAGAGTGCAAGTGGCCTGGCTGCGAAGCACTGTGTGAGGACATGGGACAGTTCATCAAGTGAGTCACAGGCCACCCAGCTTCTAGAATTTTGATTTTTAGACTTCAGTTACCAATCAGAGATGAACAATGTCCGATCTCTGTCATGGTATCTGAATGGTGCAGATGCTGCTCATACCCGTATCCCAGTAAGAGATTGCTCAGTGCTAGAGAGGAAATTTTCCTTCTCAGGATTGAGACGTTTTCAACCCAACTGAACACTCAACTTAATTTAGAGCAGCAGATTTAGTTTCTGAAAAATTGTTGCCCTTTTCAGACATTCTTTTAGACAGTGCTCTGTCTCTTTGCAGAGTTTTGTATTTTCTTTTTTTTTACTAACCAATATTCAAGTTTAAGTCCAAATTCAAACATTGGTTTCTAGCTAAACCTCATAATTATCTGCTTTAGATTACCTGTATATTCAAAGGAGGAAGCAAAACAAACTGAAGCTTTGTCAGTAACCCGCACATTAGTCAATGGGTTTATGAATTTCCCAATTTCCTAATTCCTCTGTTGCAATGTCTTGCATCACATTTGCTCCTGGGCACATCCATGTATACTCACACATGCAAACACACACCGTTACAGACATTCACTCGTCATATGTGTTAATTCTTTGTTTTCAAAATAGTCTTTCAGTTTTGGTACCTGTTTGTTTAGTTTTTGCCAGCTTATTTCAGTCTCCTCATCACTTTTATTGACCAATTTGGAAGCATAGTGTGATGCTGAGGTAGTATTGGGCCTACCAGCTCATGTCTCCCTCTCTGCACTGGACTTGGCACCAAGGCTTCTGAAGAATGTTTCGTAAGGTCCTAATGAACCCCTAAACAAACTCACTCTCATTATCAATGTGGAGCTCTTAGCTATTTGAACAGGGGAGTTATTAATAGGACAGGGTGATGAAATCTGTATTCACATGCGAGCATGCGCATACATAATCACAGACGTGTGCGAAGTGATTGTGATGGCATTGGACAGTCAGATCAAAGCTCGCAGGCAGGCTGGGAAAGTTTGGAGAGGAAAGCTGTTGTTTGGTGTCTCATTTCATGTAGCCCTAGGGCAGATGGAAGGAGAGCAAGTGCTAGAGTGAAAGAGCATGTGTGTGTGGAAGAAAAGGGAAAGATGAAAAAAAAAAAAAAGTAGAGGCAGCGACAGATAATGCCGTCAGTCCAACTGCGCGCTCCCTCCCAGCGAGCCTTAGTCATTGCCCCAGGAGGGGAAAAGGGTAGAGCAGAAGAACAGAGGAGGGAGACACTCCACTAGTTCAGGTCTTTCTTTTCTTCTCTTTCCTCTACCCACCTCCCCTCCTTCCTCCTCCTCCTCCTCCTCCCCCTCCTCCTCCTCGCTGTCCTCTGGTATAATACTCTGGCTGTGGTCGCCAGAGCTGGGTGTAATGTGGGTTAAAGCCTTGTCTGCCAGCACTCAGAGGAGTAAACAGAGCCTCATTGTCGGGACACGCTGAAGAAAAAAAAGAAAAATCCCTGCTACTGTTTACGGCCCAGCTATACAGAGATTGGAGGGTGCTGGGGGGCAGAATTGGTTGGAATAAGTGTGAATCATAGGCATTTAGGGGGTTGCGGGGGAAGACGAGTGGGAAGGGGAGAGTGGACAGAAGTGACGAAGAAGTAGACAGGGCTCTACGGAGAGTGAGTTATAGAAAGAGAGAGGGTGAGATCATGTTTTTGTTATTATTATCATGCACTTGTGTTGAGCCATCTATCTGCCTAGATTAGCCACGCCATGACATCATTGTTTTTGTTTCATTTCCCGTCTTCGCCTCATGTTGCCTAACTTCTTACTTTCTCAAACACACACACATCCACTTACAAGAGTTCCATACATTAACACAAGTCCGATAAGGAGTTTATACATTAATGCACGGCTATTCTACACACACACACACTCGGACACGCTGTTCATGCAGCAGCAACCTGTGAATAACCTTGGCGTTGACAGAGGGGAGACAGGGAGGGGCTCACCGGGAAAGATCAGAAGGTCCCAGGTCCTCCCACAACTGAGGAAACAAACAGCGCCACCATTTCCACACGCACATTTAGCAATGTGCGCGAACATGCGCACACACACACACACACATGTGACGCACCAGTGTTAATAAGTGGAGTGAAGTTTAGCTAAGAGAGAGTCTTAAGATAAGACTTTGTGTGATAACACATGAGCTCATATCCAGGTGGTTGTCTTGGATCATGGCTCACTGAGCACCAGTGAAGTATACACATACAGAACACAGCTGCTCCTTTACTAGACAAAATGAACCTCCAAGATTAGGATTTATTTTTGTAGCACTGAAAGAGCTCATAACTCAGTCAAAATAAAAGGAAAAAGGGCTGAGACGTGTTACTTTTTCATCCACCAGATTAAAATAATGATCCCGATAAAAAGATCTTCAGTGAATTTTTTTTAATTTTTTTTACAATCTGCTTTTTGATTTTGGCCATTTTAATTTAATCAGTATCAAGTATCTTATTTTCCATAAACGACTCGTCCGTTTCCTGTCTCCCTCAGGCACTTGAACAATGAGCATGCCCTGGATGACCGCAGCACTGCCCAGTGCAGAGTCCAGATGCAGGTGGTGCAGCAGCTTGAGATACAGGTGGGTCATGCATAAAACTCACTTAGTTTTCATTTGCTCACAAACAAATTCATGAAGACTGTTCCAGCCTGTCAGTGGTAGTAACTTGTCTGAGGCGGGGCAGAGTTTATAGAGAGCAGTGGAGCTTGTAATTTAAAAGGAGCAGTCAGCAGGGAAGCTGCCATCGCCGCTCCAATTATAAAGCGTCTCTGGTCACTAGCAAGAAAGGGTGAAGATGAGAGAGAGGGAGGGAGAGAAAAGAGAATGACGCAAGTCAGAGAGGACCAGACTGCAAGAAGGCTCTTGTTCTCAAAGTGGTTCACACACAAAATGCTCTTGAAACATTCGGAACATGATAATGATGAGACACAATATAGCAAACTCTTCAGTCTTTTCCAAATAAAAAGTACCAAACAAAGTAGAGAGATTGTCTCTTTTTACTGAATGGAGCATTCATTTGCTACTTTTATGTAGGCATGTGCGTGCATGAGTGTGGGCCGCCCAACATTAGGGGTAGCTTTTGTATTTGGCAGTGGTGGTAAACATCGTTTAGCTGAGTCCCTGAAGCCACCACCAGGGAACACAAAGTGACAGAGAGGCAGCTGGTGTCACATCACATCAGGAAAGCCGTCTCTCTCTCCTTGACTTGTCACTTCATCCCTCAGCAGTCCACAGGAAGCCCACTGCTTTGCCCTCGTGCACACAACACAACACAACACAACACAGCACAACACAGCACAAACAGACAGATACAGGACAGGCGCTGTGTTAAAAAATGTCTCATATTTTCACACTGACACAAATTGCTGTAGTTTTGGAGCATGTTAATGGGACTTTGTTATTTCTGGGAGCCACACATGTGTATGATTGTACCCATGCACACACACGCACAAAGATTGAAACATTCCAAAGGCTGCAGCAGCCCCCTTTAAACAGTCTACCAAAGTTAAAGGAACAAGTGTGTCTGCAGAGTAGTGGAAGTGTGTAAGAGATCTGTGTGCCTGAGGTGCAATTTTATTTGTAATGCCACATAAGATCATTCATGTTTGCGAAATGAGAGCATTTATTCAATAAAAAGTCATCCACGCGTGTCTTTTGCAGCTGGCAAAAGAGAGCGAACGACTTCAGGCCATGATGACCCACCTGCACATGCGTCCCTCAGAGCCAAAACCTTTTAACCAACCGGTGAGTACACAGTGACACCCTAAAGTCCAGATCATACACGCTGTCTGACCAGAAACCTCCTACTTACTTTTTACCCTTTAACTTATTTTCTTTTCTTTTACCTTTCTTTAGATTTCATATCCATCTTTTACTCTCTAGCTTGCTGTCTATGCCCCCTATTGACCAATTCATGTATTATTTTGCAGTCATAAAGGCCTGTTTCCAGTCTCCAAGTTTTCTATCCTCTATCTTTGTCTCTCTCTACCATTTCCTCTACTGTTTTAAACTTACTCTGATACATTGCATTTTATTATACAGAAAACTTTGCTTTAATACTTAATCTCTCTTTGAAACTTTTCACATATTCAAATTGACTGTAACATTTCCAAGCAGCTATTACACTCAGCTTGTCGATTATTCAAAATTATTGAATTCTTTTTTTTTTTATATTCAGATTATGCTGACAAAAATAGAGACATCTGATGTGGCTTGAGTGTGTCTGTGTGAGTGTATACGTTATTTGGAGTCTGATGAATATTTCATTATTCAGATTGACGAGAAGACTTATTAAAATATGAAGATGTAGAAATTAATTGTCAATTAGTGGTAGAGTGTCTTAATTTGAGGATATAAACGGGTGCAGTCGGGTGTCAATGTGTGTGCACGTGTTTCTGTGCGTGCTTGTGTGTCTGGGTGATGTGTTGATCGCAGGGGGATCAGCTGCCATTATCATCTAATGGGAAATCAGGAAGAGGCGTGTTCTGTCACCACTGGAGACGAGCCTTAGGGTCAGGAATTGGAGAAGGAGGGGTAGAGGAGGAGCATCAGGAATGGAAACAAAGCTTGGCCTCAATTAACAGCATTCGACTGTTGCCGTGGTGATGGGGCAGGGTTGCAGCTTTAATGAAGTACCTGTTAAAAAGCCCCGCCCCCTCCAGTCAGCTTAAATGGTACAGAGAAGGGTCAGAGTAAAGAGGAGGAGATTCACACATTTTACATATATCGAGACAGCACACACAGACACACACATTGGTTTTAATTAGTCCTAAACTAGCAGCCTTACACCAGCTTTCCCAGAGCGACTGGGAGTACTGGTTCTGTGTGTACGTGTGTGTGTGTCTGTGTGTGCTCACAAAGCACTGCCTAATTGGGCCGAATTGGTCCGTGAAGACTTTGCCACCGCAGAGTGCATGTGTGTGTTCCCTCTTACAAACATGCTGTCGTGTGGTTTTGTTTTTGTAAGCTCAGGGTTAATTGCAGCCAGTGCTGTGTGTATAGATATATGTGCGTATTCAGACTGTGTGAGTGTGTGCGGTTAGGTGCAAATGACAGGGCCATGTATTCACAACAGCCACTGCAGGCCTCACTTTCTGTCTGGGTTAACATTAGCGGTGCTTCGTGAGTAAAGCACCCTAAACTACAAAGGTAAATAGCTCCATGTTAGTACAACTTTCAAGAGTTGATGAGCGCAGTAAGTGTGCTGTTCAGTATGTTTGCATCACTTCTCTACAATTAACAAGCTAGAGGACCTTTTTAGACAATGCATAATTATTATCATTATTTCATATTTCATGTATTTTTTACTGGGGCCCGGGCCTTTCTTTGTGGAGTTTGCATGTTCTCCCTGTGTCTGTGTGGGTTCCCTCCATGTTGGGTTAATTGGACACCCCAAATTGCCCCTAAGAGTGAATGTGAGTGTGTAAGTGTGTCCAGGGTTTACGCCGCATATCACCCATTGTCAGCTGGGAAAGGCTGTTGGGGATAGGCGCTATAGAAAATGGATGGATGGATATATTCTTACCAAAATGGGAGAGATGTCTTTGCTGTGTTATTGCTCTTTTTTTTGTATCTCAGACTGTGTACCAATTTCAATAAGTAACACAGCAAAATGTCAGTCTTCTTGACTTCACCTGTCACTGACATGTCATGGAGTGTTTTTGAAGAGATATGTTTTTTGTGTGTACTGAAATCATTTGAAATGTCTGGTGTGTTTCTCTTCCCAGCTGAATCTGGCTTCCAGTGGCTCCCTTTTAAAGCGGGACAGCGAGGCCTACCCAGAGGGTCTCCCCCACCCTCCCACCTCAGCTGCCACCCCAATCACCCCTTTGCGCCAGGGACCCTCCGTCATCAGCTCTTCCAGCCTGCACACACACTCTCACTCTCACGCACACGCTGTTGGACCCATACGCAGGCGCAACTCTGACAAGTACTGCACCCCTATCGCCTCAGGTAGAACACAGTTGATCCTCATAAGACTACGATTCACAAGTTACTAATCCTTCATACTGGTGTTGATGATTCTTAATAACTGCTTTCGATTGATCTAACAGTGCTAATTGAGCTTTTCTTATGTAATTTGGCAAAAATGTGTTTCACAGTATGTAAATATTACACAAGAATGGCTATCTATATGCTCTGTATTCCAAGACAAGATAACAGATTTTTAGATGGGTGGCTCAGAATGCCTCATACATTCACATCACTGTTGTAGTACGCTGCAAAAGTGTGCAACACTTTTGTTTGAATTATCACCTTTTTCTTCATCAGAACTCGCACAGAACTGTGAGTTCTACAAGAACGCTGATGTCAGGCCTCCCTTTACCTACGCCTCTCTTATACGTCATGTAAGTCTCATCAGTGATCCCTTTTTGGTTTCTCTCCATCTGCCATCTGAGACCCTCACTAACATATGTCCTGTTTTTGTCATTCTCAGGCCATTCTGGAATCCCCAGACAGACAGTTGACTCTCAATGAGATCTACAACTGGTTTACACGAAAGTTTGCCTATTTCAGGAGAAATACAGCCACATGGAAGGTAAAGCAACACCATATGCCTATTTTATATCTACCTAGCATACATTTAAAAAAGGGTGCTAACTCTCTCAGGGTGAGGTTTTGGAACATGTGACATTGAGTGATTTGAAAAGATTCAATCAGATAAAAAAATGTACATTATAGAGTTTTTTTTCTTTGAGATACAGGAAAAATGAGTGGAGCCATATTTACAAAAGTGAATGTTTGTATTGTGGCTGTTACAATAAAATAGTTTGACAAAAATAGAATATGATGCTTTTTATGAAATCTGGTTTAAAATGGACTGAAATGAAGTCATTGTAGTTTCTGCTGTGTGATGCAGGCCCTTAGCTAGATCCCAGCTGAGACTTGTTAGGCCACCATGAAAGAAACAGCATTTACGAGCAGGTTTAACCGTGTTGTTTGGCTCGTATGCCAAAATTAATTGTCACTCAGAAGGCCAAAATGTTGCACATGTTAACATTATGTACAGTACACTAACGGATACACATTTTAAAGCTGACTTTGCTTTGATCTGACAGTTATTAGCTTTTTCTGTTCTGTTCTTTATGTGAGACACTTTCTATCATTCACATGTTTTCCTTTATTCTCTGATGTGTATCTCACTCTAAGGCCTAAGCAAATCTCTCACCTCCGTCACAGCACGTGGAGTGTCAGGCCCACTAAAGCCACATCTATCAGCTACACAGCCTCATTACAGAGAAGCACATGCAGAGCCAACATGCACTGTTCATGATCACACACTGATCTGAGTTTTTCCCTCTCCTCATCCCGGTTTCTCATGCACACGCTCAGGTTGATCCCAACATTGCAGCTGCTGGCCCATTTATTCATACACACTAATGTGGGTTTTGGAAGAAGGGAAAGTAAGGGAATGAGGAAAGCAGAGGGAAGGGTGCGACAACAGCCTCCTTCTAATGGCCAAGGAGGGAGGGAGGAGGATGATGATGATAGGGAGGGGTTAGGGATAGGGAGGGAGGATTTGCTACAAAGGTTAGGAGACAGGGTTGAAGGAATATCTTAACTTCCTCATCTGATTTTTATGAATTTTAACTATTAATGCTTGGTGTCTGCTTTCTAAGCCATTTACCAAGAGGACCTTTAAATACAGCTTGACTTGTTCTTATGTATTTATATTGCAACTCAGTGAGTCAAATAGGGCCATAGATAAGCACGTCCTTTAACAAGTGGTTATATTTCATGAGCGGAGCAGTGGAGTCAGGGAGCGGAAGTCATTCATAGGAGACACAGAGGGGAAAGGTATGAGGGTGAGATGAGAAATAGGAGTAGACAGGAATGGTTGAAAAAATGTGTTTGTATTCTGCTGCAACGAGAAAACATTTTAGGTACATTTTTGCTGCCACATCTCTGTAACTGAGTTTCTTTCCAACAGAAATGATGGTAAATTCTCATTAAATGTATGCACTTTTATATGTACATAGTCTATCCCAGAATTTATAAGGATTGTCAGGGAAGGAACCTGATGAGTGTTTTTCCTAAACTGAAACTAAAACAGTACAATCTAATGAACTGGCATTCAGGGCTTTTTCTTTTTGCTTCAAACAGTTAAAATGTTCCAAATTTCTGCCTCTGTTGCTCCCCACCCTCTCCTCCCCTCCGCTGGAGGGAGTGGAGATGAGTGGCACATGTGCTGTGACCCACTGTAAATGACTGCTAATGTTTTAACTGGCAGAATTAGGCTTTCATCACGGAGACAAATGCAAATAGCACTGCAATAGCACCGGTGTCTGGAGCGTGTGCGCGCATGCATGCGTTTGTGTATGTGTGTTTGCACTGTCAGGGTGGCGGGCAGAGATTGGGGTCAGACTCATTTACAAAACTTAGCATCACGGCTCGGGGGGTTGAGGGGATGCGGGGGAGAAAGGGTTCCTCCGCTGATTATGGCTTGTGTAATTACGTCTGTGTGTGCGTTTGTGTGTGTGTTTGTGTGTGTATATCTGCGTGTGTAATTATGGCAAAGAGTGATGCATGCCTGGCCTGTCCCTCCCTCTCGGCTTAGAACAGCGTGTCAGAGAGAATATGCAGGATTTAATTATAGACGAATTAAAATTGGTAATGAAATTGGGCATGAACAAACTACAAATAGCAGATGAAAAGGGAGGCCTGTCCCTGGGGGGTTGAGACGAAGATAGCGGTGTGCCTGCCTGCCTGCCTGGTTGTCTGAGTGCCTGTGGATGTGTGTGTTTCTGCGTGTGTGCTGATGATGACTGATTAGAAACATTCTGAGATAAAATAACGTTTCTTGAGAACTGCTGCTTTATATTAGCTCCGCGCAGGAAGCCTTAGTAAAGTCTGAAGTGATGAGTAAAAAAAGTAAACTATCTGCTGGTCTTATTATGTAAATTGTTGTAATGAAAATTGGTATTTGCAGCAAACACACAATGAATCTACCTCTTTTTCCCCAGAATGCTGTGCGCCACAACTTAAGTCTGCACAAGTGCTTTGTCCGCGTTGAGAACGTGAAGGGTGCCGTGTGGACTGTGGATGAAGTTGAATACCAAAAGAGGAGACCACCAAAGATGACCGGGTAAGTGTGCTCTCATGCTCGTATGCGAGTTGGATTTCTTGGTGCAAAGTTTAAGTTGATGAGAGTGTGATCCCGCTGTGAAGTGCATCGGATATTATAACGAAGGAGCAGACTCACAAATTACATAAAACAAAGGGGGGCTGCCGTCTTATGGTGTGCTGCATGCGCCCGCGTTTCTCCCTGTTTGTTGACACCATTAGTAAGCAGCTGTGCAAGATGCAAGACAGGAAAAAAACCTTGTTAGCGTGTGTAAACAGATGTTCTCCCTAACCACCCCGGATAATTGTGTACACACACCTGCATGCCAGATATCAGACACTTTTCATTCGTTTTAGCATCTGTTTACAGTCTGTGAATGTTTCGTCTGTAAAATATTTGCAAGATTTGTTATAGTGCTTTGATTGAGGTGACATCTTTCACATGTGTGTGCAATGTGTGAGTCAAACCCCCACTGATTTTTTCTTCTTCTTCTTCGTGTTTGTGCACATGTGCAGAAGTCCCACTCTGGTGAAAAACATGATTTCTGGCCTGGGCTTTGGATCCCTAAACGCCAGCTACCAGGTAAGCCTCGCTCACTTTCCTATTTCTTTCTGTTCCTACCTTTCTCTCAAACACACACAGTGCTACCACAATCAAGGACACTAATATCAATTCCCTCTCATAATTAGCCGATTCCCTAACGACGTTCACACCACCTCCTCCCTCCTATCAACGCTCGCTCTCACCTCCCGCCTCGCTTTTTCTCACATGCTCCACCACATACACAAAAAGGCACACACACCAACTCCAGACACGCCAAGTGCACTTTTGCGTCTGAGATGATTTATTGCGTCAAGTGGTTGTCAATTAGGTTACTGCATAAAATTATCGCCTGTCCCAGAAAATCCACCTCTGAGCCAGTGAGAATTCCTTTTGTCTTTTCTTTTTTCCTGCATAAGAGGGGAGGTGGGGTGAGTCTGTCAGCTGACATTCAACCTGTCCTCTCCAACACTGAGTGCAAGTGTGTAAAAAATAGCTGGCCATGTTGGCTCTGCTGTTTTCAGATGCTGCACTTATGTTTCCACGTTTAAGTCGAGGTGGCTCAGTCTCATTTAACATTCCCGTTGTTGACACACACACACTTTTGACAGGAAGTTGAATAAGATCGAACTGTCCTTGAGATGGGAAGTACTGTATCTAAGTGCCCCCTAGTGGTTTGTCGTGATGTTCACTTGTACCTCAGGGTTACAAACGTCCCCCAGATGTGGGCCATTTAAGAGAAATGACCACCACACTCTGTGTACGTGTAGGCGGCGCTGGCAGAAAGCAGTCTGTCCCTGCTGAACAGCCCCCCGCTGGTGACCCCTCCGTCTGCGGCCAGCCTCAACATGCTACACGTGGGCCACGATGATGTCAGCTCCACCGTGGAACAGGTCAACAGCAACGGCAGCTGCAGCCCCACGCTCAGCCCTCAACAGTACGGGTATGTGTGGCACAGAAAGAGAACCGCGAGTCAAAGCGCTCAGTGGTTTCAAGAATTTCATAACCCCTTTAGTCGAAGAGTCAAGATCTATCTCAGTATTACAACTTGCCAGGAAGCTTTTGACCGTCTTTGGCTTTTTTTTGTTTTTTTCTTTAAAATGTCTTCCATTTATCAGACAATCCATTTAAAAAGATAAGGAATGATTTCCTCTTGATGTGAAGGTTCTGTCTCTAAAACGTTATGATTCATAAACCCTGAAAAATCATGTGACTTACTAAAATGTAAATTTAAGAATGAGTTTTTTGTTGTTTTTTTTATCACAACTTTATAACATACCTTTGCGACAAGAAAGTAGACCAAAAAAACTATCAGATCTCAATTGAGTTAGACAATATTTCTGTGTAGCTTCTTAGTCATCCAGGACATGGTAATCCTGAGAGCTTGGAAAAGGGCAGATGGTCTTCTTTTTGGATCGTGAAGATGTTTCACCTCTCATCTCATTAGTCAGTTGTTTCTGGGATACGTGTGACAGCAATGAGCTGCTGAATGAGAGCGCCACCTTTGCTGATACTCCCCACCAAATATTTACTATTTAGAAGCTTTATAATCTAGCTTCTCTCATTCTAGCCAAAAATATCTAGATGCAAATTTGTGCGAAGAGTATGTTTGCACTGATATAAATCATTACATATACATTCCTTGAACCCCACACTTTTCCTGATTAGCAGTTGTGGTCTCTCCCCCAGCCACCCGGTGCATGTGAAGGAGGAGCCCACTGAGCTGGAAGAGGACAGTCGGCCAGTATCCCTCCTGGCCGGTGTCACACACAGCCTTCCATTGCCGAGTGACGAGCGGGACCTGGAGGAGGATCTCCCCACAGAGGAGCTCGAGTAGGAAAGATCAACGGCAAACCGGAGGGATGGGACTTACACAGATCCCCGAGCCCTCTCGCCTGTGTGAGGAGGAAAAGATAGCAGCAGTACACTCAAGAGAAAAGAGAGAAGAGAGAAAAAAAAAGTGATGTTTTTTTGTTTTGTTTTTTTTTCTAAGAAAATTCAAGCAACCAAGGATGACATTGAGAAACTCAAAACAGGGTTAGATTAATTTTGTTACTTTCAGACGCAAAAACAAGACTGTGGAGCACTGCTTTACCTCCGTGTGTTGCTTTCTCAACACACGGCTCAGAGGTGTAACACCACTTAATGCATACACATTCACAAAAAATGTGCGCGCACACTCGTACAGTTGTCAGTCCATGACTCATTGTCCTGCCTGGAAATATCACCCACTATGTAGAGACCCCAGGAGGCGTGGACACACACTTTCCGGCTTGCATACACGCTCCTCTCTGTGGTCTCTGGCTGCCTGACTGACCATTTTGTCAAAGCGGAGAAGAAACACAGAAGTGTGTGTTCGAAAGAAGACACGCACACAGGGTCATGTGTATATAGAATTGGAGCAGTCACCAATGGCCGGATGCTTCTTCTTCCCCTCTTGAGTCAGTCTCTTGGTTTTTTTATTTTCTTGATTTGAGTCAAATTAAATGGGCGTCGAGATGAGGAGGAAGAATTCGCGTTTCCAAAATTCCCCCCCACACCTGTGTGTGTGTGCGTACAAAGAGGCTGACCCTGGTCACCGCCCCAAACCTCTGCCAGCAGCAAGACACTTAGCGAGGGACATCTTTTAAACTTTTTGCTTCAAAGTAGTGAAAACGAAGACAATTTCATGCCGTATCTACATCCCACCTCATTCCAAACACCCCCCCAACCCCAGGAAGACTGCGGGAACAGGACCATTTGGTGCTGTCCTTCTCTGCTCCATTCGCAGTTGGAGTGATGAAAGCATGAAACACTTGAGAGAAAAAGAAGAAAAGACGGGAGGCAGTGAAAAACGAGGAGGCAGCATCTACAGATACATTGTGACTAAAAAAGAAAACTGTTGATGATTATGGAATATAACAAGAAAAACTGTGTGGTAGCTTTTGTCATTTTCTTTTTTTTTTTTTGGGTTGTTTTTTTTGTTATGGTATTGTTTATTTTCAAGGATCGATATTTCCAAGGTGGTGATGTGTTTTGACATACCTTTTCTACAGATGCTGTTTTTTGTTTCGTTAGCTGTTTGATTTACTGTGGTTGTTCACACCATTCCAGATAAGTATTGGCAAAAAAATAACAACACAAAAATGCGCAGTATTGTCCCAACCTTACCTGTCCCTGTCCCATGTGTAGCAGGCAAGAAAATTAGAAATAGCACTTAAAGTTGACATCATCCAGACAGATTATTTAATACCAGAAACTTTTTTTTTTAATTCTCTCTCACTCTCACTGTTATTTTTTTCTTTTGGTTGTGTATTTAGTTGAGAAATATCTGTAATGCTTTAAAAAATATATAAATATATAATATTACTGCAGTCAGAGAATACCTCATCCCACAAAGGTTCTACCCAGAAAAGTGTCCAAATTGATAAAGAAGTAAGGGGGAATTCTTTCTGTGGGACACCAAATGTGGCAACTCTGCTCAGCTTCGATTCAAAGCTCTATCGTTGTAATGGTTACTGTCTAGAAGCTATCTGCAATTCACTGTGTGAGTTTGTGTTTTCACGTGAGATTTGTTTCTTTGTTTTCCATGATATCAAAGCATTACTTCTCTCTACAGTGCCATGCCAAATTTATCATTTATTTTAATCTATTATCTGCTTGTTCCCATTTTATTTTTGTTACAGGTAACCAAAGAAATATGTAGAAAACCAAAAACCCTGTAGTTTATTTTGCCCTTTGTTTTCATTTTTTCCTTTTTTTTTGTTTTAATATCTTAAAGAACTGGCCAAAAGACCACAAACCAGGAGTTTGAATTCTTATTGTTGTACCAACATAACTATTGCATAGAAATTACATGATTTACAGTGCTGACCATCCCAAAAACCAAAGTATGTAAAGCAGAGTAGAATTTGGAGACAGTTACAAAGGACTCAGATTAGGCATAAGGCCAAAAACAAATACAAACCTTGCACGGTTCCTCTGGAAAAAAAAAAGACGATAGAAGAAAATAGCACTTAAAGATGAAACCCTGTCTCTCTCATACTCAGGCTCAACTGTGTTACAAACACAATCCCGGGATGGACCCTAGTTACATTTTCTTCAACACTAATATTTATCAGTCCATCATTGTCAGAGGCCAGTATAAAGAGAGGCTGAACAACGAGCATTACAAGGTACTTTTTGTGCTTGTTTTCTGTTATGAACATTGGGAGTTTGTGAGACTAGAAAAACAGAGAAAAGCCCTCTCGATCTGTCCGTGCTGTTCTTGAATAGGTGAAGTGTATTCAAAAGAGTCCCATCTTTTGACAGGGAGGAGTTATTCCAAATATGTATTAGAAAAACATCAACAAAGAGGGAACAGCATAAAAATGAGGAAATTATACCCATGTGAAAGGAATTAAACCAAGGGACATCATTTAATTTGAAGTTTCATCCATGTTTTTTTGTCAAACTATGTTGCACTTCAAACGTTTTTTTTCTTTTTTAATGAAAGAACCTTTCTGAGGACTGCTCTCTGTCACATTAGAGACGGATTGTCTAACAGAGTACAAAAGTGACAGACTTCTTGAAATGAGATAAAAACCAAAAATAACACTACCTCCTTTTCAAAACTGTTCAACACATAGCCAGTGGAAGAAACTCTCAGATATTTTTCTCCACTTTTCCTCATTGATAAGAATAATAATAACGAATGCCAAACCTGTTGTTACACTTACTGCATCACGGGAAAAAAAAGATTTTTGGCGATCTGGACTCCCTTACACATCTGCTTGAGCCCAAAAAACATAGAGACGCATTTCCATATGGTTAAGAATGACTACCTCTCCGTAAACCGCATCTAAAGCGCTCAGGGCTCCTCAAAAAGTTTTGAGAAGCGCTCACTACATGTAACCCGTTTTCTACCAACTGCGTAAAACTGACCACCTGGTTAACACTGAACTCCGTGAACAGCCTTTCAACTGTGAGATTTCACTGTAAGCGTGCATGTTCACGGTGGGGCTTTGCTCTCAGAGGCTGGTCGTAAATGGCTATGTGTTGTTGCGGGGAGCTGGTTGTCCGAGGTAGTGATGGGTTGAATACTTTAGTGCCACAACACACAGACACACAGGCGTATAACAGAAGCCGGGCTATTGGTTAGTGATAACACAAGCTCCAGCCATCTTGATATCCAAAGACAAACAAAACAGCAGAACCCCCATCACCAAAACACTCACGAGAATGTTGAGAGGACAAACACACTTTGAAACTCATCACTACTACTTTTAGGATCCAAACCAAGAGGAACTGCTGCATCCAGAACATTGATTATATCGTACTTGTGCTTTAAGGTACACCTGTAAACAAAAACAGTTTTATAAAGATGTAGATTGTTCACAGGTCACCACATAACACTTCTGTTCTTTCTCCAGCTTCGCATTACATGGTGTATTCTTGTATATTAATGCTTGGCTTATCTCTCCAGGGCTTTCTTTCCTATTTTGGCCTTTGATTTTTTTCTCTTATCCTTTGAGGTTTCTTGTTTTTTTCTGCACCTGTAAAGCTATTGTAAAGCTTTCAGCTCTGATTCCTATACTGTACTGCTAATGCTGAATATATGTATTTATCATATTAAGTGCTGCAGGTATCTTGGTTTAATAGTTTTTTTTTTCCTTGTTTGTTTTTTGTTTCCATTTTTCAGTTCTTCATGAAACGTCTGGGACGCTGATTTTTTAAGTGTATTATCAAAAAAATGAAAAGAATTAAAGTTAGATCAGTGGTTTAGGTAACACCTGTTTGTATATTTATCTTAGCTAGGTCTATTTTGATACTTTTTTTGTCTCTGTACTGCATTTATGCATTTTTAAGGAAAGAAAAAAAAAAACAACAAATGGAAAACAAACTTAAAAGTTTCTTCACCATGTATTGATACCTCAGAAGGACTATTTCCTCCAAGACAGGACCAAAACCTCTGTTGAGAGAAAGAAAAAGAGGAAAAATGTAAGAATATGTAGCCCCTCTCTCTTGCTTTAAAAGAAACGCAGAGCTCTAGAAAAGTATTGCTGTTGATCCTTTCAGGTGCCAATATGTGTCCCTGCTCCTTGTGACCCCTCTCTGTGACCCTGACCCCTGTCATTCCTGTGCTGAATTCCCGCCCGCAGACCTGTCACCCGTCTGCAGGTGCCAAGGGGCTGTCACTGAGTCAAACAACTGGCAAGTGGTGATCAGCCACAAACCTCATCTCCCAGTCCCACAGAGGCTGATCAAAGACCCACACTGTTGCATTTTTGATACACCTCCTCTTGCATAGTCTCAATACCAAAATGTGGAATGGCTCTCAGAGATGCAGCTCATCTTCTGGCTACCAAAGGCATTGCGAGCCAATATTGCTTAGTCCAAACTCCTTAACTGTAACCAAACTGTAACCAAACCAATGCCACAAGTTTAACCAACCAAAAACCAAGCTAATTCCAAAACTCTTCATCAGCTGCACATCTCACTGGACTTACCCCTCCTACATCCACATAACAGTATTGTTGGAGCAGCCTAAGTCCCATTGGCTTGGGACTGACTCAAAGGATGCAGGGAGATCAAAACCTGTGATTGGTCAAGTTCTGAGGTGTCATATGAGGGGGAAGGGACGCTCAAAGTGAAGCATTGCCTGACGGTATTATGAAACAGAAAGCCAGAATTTGATGGAACTACCACTTCAGCTCTCCTCTGGTTGAACCTTAGGAATGTGTGTACATTTTCAGCAGTGACTCTCTTTATTGATTCTTAGTTCAGTTTACCTGTTTACCTCTCTTTATCCTTTGGTTTTTGTTATGTTTCTTGTTATTTGAAAGTGTGACCTGAGGAAGAGGTGGGAACAGGGACTGGGTGGTGGCTTTAGACAGACAGTGGAGCCCAGTCCTCTGACCCTCCATCCCGGGGTAGCCATGTAATGCCAGTCACTGCCCTTTCCTTCATGCTGTATAAAAAAAACACACATTTATCTGTGTATTTGTAACCTGAATCTTCTTGTGTCTGTCCATGCAGACAATAAAAAACTGTACAGTAGGTCTAGTTGCATGTAATCTGTACTAATTATTGACAATGGCATTATAAAATGCAATAAAATACTTATTACACTGTCAGGTGTGTCCCTTTTTCTTCTCTAATTGTCCTACAGTCCTACAGAAACACACTCAAACACATACAAAGAGCAAATACAAATATTGGAGATGAATGAAAACTCCAAAATATAATAATTCCCTCAACAGAAAATGATTTTTGGAATTATCTTGAAATCTAAACATGTCAAACATAACAATTAACTCTACAAGTGAGCCTTCAGTTTGTCATCAGTAGAAAGAAATGAAATGATATACAGAATGTCCATGTTGCTCATCATGTAGAAGTTTGCAAGAAGCTTCCATTTGTTCTTTATTGAGTTTGGGAAATTGAAAATGTCCAGTCTTATGTTTAAGAGTAACTCCAAAGACAAAATGTCGGAACTTTGTTTCTTGATATCGCTTGTAATGTGTCAACAGCCGTTGTTCAGGTGAGTGGAAACATTTTGGAGGCTGAAAAGATGTGTGGCGTGGTCATGCTGGGGGGGTCATGTGTTGTGATGCAGAGAGTGGCCACCAGGAGGAGTAAACAAACCAGACAACACACGCACTATATCACAAACACAAACATGTCTGGACTCCACTGACATGGAGTGACCAACAGGGTGGGCCAGAGAGTGCAGAACCAACACCAGGTGAACTGTTTGCAACTTGTGATGAGCTGAATTACACGGATACAGGTGGATAAAGGATCTTTTGGATTTGTAGAACAGATCTTGAACTGCGTGCATTTTCCAAGTTTTCCATGAGCTTTCATTTAGTTGACTGACATTCTCCATTTCTGTCTTTCTCACTTCAGCTGTGTCTGTCTACCTTTCAGGTGTGCCACATGCCCTACAGCTCATCTTTAAAACCTCAGGTCTGCATCCTGGGTGTGCTGCCACAGGGAGGAAAAATTGAAAGTGTTTGAGTGTTTTTTGGAAAGTTGAAACTTTGTTTAATCTTGTGCTTCTTGTGAACTTTTTCTGTTAGTCCACTGGGAGAAAACTGACTCTTGACGCTTAAATCCTTGTGACATTTGGTTTTGGGTGAGCCCCCTTCTCTAAGCCTACTACAGACTCTTGCGCACACACTTTGAGACCCAAAAACTCCCTCACCGGTGTACACACATCATGAATACTAAGCAGAAACTTTGTTCAATGTACGTGTACCGGGTGAGCCAAGGTGCAGAGCAACAGACAAAGGGGTTATTCTTGGAGTAGCACAGTAGTGTTTGGCACAAAACTGGAACTGAACATACTTTTCAATCCTCATCTGGACAGAATCAGTATTGGATGTGTGCATATGATTGTGGACTGGACCTTTATTTGTCTAAGAGTAGATTTACATCCAGGCATCTGCTTGTCCGTCAGTGTATGCGATGCAAAATCAATATTCACGTTTGTGTGATTGGGTGTGTGGGATGAGCGTGAGGGGATGTGAGTCCCAAAAGCATGTAGAGCACTGAGGTCCAGGCAGACCCTATGAGTCACAAAATAAATTCACTGAGAGCCATGCTCACATGTCTGCCTCTCCCCTCTTCACTCACTCCATCGTCCTGCTCCCTTCTTCCCCTCCATGGCTGTGGCTAAAGCAGCGGGCCTACCTCCAAACAGTGTACCAACTCACTCTAAACAGCACAACATATTGTGTCTCTCCTGCCACATGCATCCACATGGCTCTCCTTATTCATGTTTTTTCTACACTGAGAGACAGCAACCTTCTACTTTACGTCTTTACTTTTCGGTTAGTTTATAATGCCCACAGCCCACTGAACATTTACAATTTTTGTATTATTGTTACAAATAATGTTAACACTGTAATGAAAAAGACACGTTTAATGTAAATTGAAGAAATACTTTGGATTACTTTAGACCAGAAATATAGTGCAGACGGCAGTTAAATATTACAATATTGTCCATTCATAATGGGATACATTTTTACTGTTCTGATTGATAAATCAAGTCTATATGCATAATGTCTTGGTAGATGCACTGAGGTTCTCCTAAACCTTTATTGTAACATCTTTTCAGTTGACTAAAGGATAACTATGAAAAAATTGCAATCTGGTCAGACTGGGCTTCAATTTGCATTAATTCTCTAGACTAAAATTTGATCTATAACTGTAGGAATGTTATTTTTTAAAAGTGTATTTTTTTATTCAGAAAACCTCCTCCAGTGCAGCCTTCTTACTGCAGGACCTATAATGAGAGAATATGTCTTGGTAGATGCACTGAGGTTCTTCTAAACCTTTATTTTAACATTTATTCAGTGTGTAATGCATTCTGCATTATACATCTATATGCTTTCTAAATTTTCTGATTTGCAAACAGGGCTAGAATTAAATAATAATAATAGTAATTATTGTTATAATCACTGACATAAATTGACTTATAATTTGGTGTTTTTTTTACTTCAAAACTCTGAAAGCATTATTGCTGCATATAAATATTGACAACTTTTCTGATTTTAATGCATGGAGCAAATCTGTATTTCATTAATAGTAACTCCTGGATTCCCCAGGTGAACAAGGATAAGGGTGGTCATTGGTTCTGTTGTCACAGGAAGGTGAACATCCAGAATCCATCGAGCCATCCTTTTATTTTCTGTACTTACTTTGTCTTGCACCCTCTGTATCCTGTTCCAACAGACATAGTTTGAGGGTAGGGCCTACATCCAAGAAAGCTAATCAGTTTGTCACAAAACGCCACAAATTCAGCCACACACCAACTGCCCAAATAGAAACAGTCACTGTAACATGCCTGTCTTTGAACTGTGGGGGAAACTGGTACACCTGGAGGAAATCAAGTTACTTCACAGGTAGAACATGTTATTTCCAAACAGAAAGCAATAGGAGTTTACATGTAAGTTAAATGCGTAGCCATGAATCATGACACGTCATATCCCCCTGTGCACTCTGAATATTGTCCTGGTTTTTAAATTGACATCTGGTTGTTCCTCATTATTCAGCCGGCTTTTCCTCCCTGGGAAGTGTCCCCTGATAGACCATGGGTATGATGAGAAAGTGGATGAACCTCTCTGACTCCATGTGTGGCAGAAAGAGCTAGAAAGAGAGACAGAGGGCCCCCAGCCACAGAACAAAAGCATCTTTGTGAATGATTGGAACCACATTTCACCCTCCCTTCTCACTCTCACACAAACCCTTTTCCCGTGCTCTCTTTCTTCACCAGTAATCATTCAGAAGCACTGAAAGAATCAAAAGTTTAGAACAACACTCATAGATGGGCACTCATTCCCTGTAAAGCTCCACTTTCACCTATAGGAGAACACCTTTACACACACAAACACTTCTGTGTGTGTGCTAGCGGCTGTACTCTCTCTCAGGCTCAACATTTCCTGAATGTGTCCTCCCACAGCATGAGAGCTCATTTAGTCTGGTCAGAAGTCCTTTCAGAAGCGAAGCAGGGCATAGGGCAGTCCTCAGAAACCTGTCCTTTCTCTGCTGACTGTCAAGCGCCTTACACTTTGAAGGCCTTAACCAAACAGCGTAGGCTTGCAAAAAGATTACCTCCTGAAAACGTTGCCCTCGGTGCAGAAAGGCTTTGTCACGTTGCTTGTTACAACACTTAAATATGGCTCATTACAGCATCCTGTGGAACCGCTCCTAAACAACAGAAGGGAAATGCGACTCATAGGAACATTTCCACAATATAGTAGACATCATTCTCAAGTCTTACATGAAACAGCTCTCACTATGGGCAATTATATCACTTCAGATCAAGGCCAAAGCATGTTCCTGGTAAAAGCAAGAGTGTTTAACTATAAATGATACTGCATGAGCAATGTCTAAAATACATGTAGACAAATAAAATGATAAGGTTTGATTGTATCAACACAGAGTGCTAAAAAGCTGACATTTTAAAGGTACCTTATTTGTATTTATATACTCATAATGTGTGGATGAGCTGGTTGTTTCAAATAGATCACAACTCACCCATTTCATGTCATTAACCAGTGAATAGTAAGGATCAAGGCTAGGCTCAAATATTTTAATATGCAAAAAAATTTGAATGCTTTTATCTCATCCATTCAAAAAATACCTGTCTCCATTCAAAATGTGATAATGTCACAAGGAGACTTTGATTGGCTGCTGTTGGTAGATTTGTTTTCAATGCCTTTCATAAGGTGAATTTACTGTGGAATGTCATACAAAATGAGAAGACTAATTCTGTATGTACTCTGAAGTATACGTTTATCAGTCTGTGTTGCAGAACTGTGACCTCCTCGTTTCATCACACCATACTCACACGAAATAAGTAAATCATTCAAATGAGAATAACAGAGTACACAAAGAATAGATTTTCCTCGGGCAGAACTCAACTTGTGCATGTAAACGAACGTTGACCTCCTCCCAAACATTAATTCTACAAAAATTTCAATGTCAACACCAGACGTTTGTCACATGAGTCATTGTTCAAACAAAGTGAACAAGTTCTGTGTATCAAACACAGAATTTCTCTGCACAACATGTGACCTAAGAAACAGACTCAGTTGCACCGACATGGATGAAGTAACACAGTACGATTATAGCTGGTAGTGAAGTTAGGTTAAAGTTAGATAGATGAAAAATTATATATATATATATGTATAATTTTTCATCTAACTAACTATATTTATATATATATATATATATATATATATACTACGATATTATTGTATATTAGTGCAAAATTGTGTATTACTATTTTTCTAAGCAACTGGAAAAAGTATCTTAAGAGTATGTAATGTTGACAAAGCAGATTATTCACCACAGAGTTTCAACATATCCTTGATATATTCATCCGCTTACTCATGAAAATCATCCATGAGTGTATTAGTAAAATTCTTCTGATAACAAGCCATTTTTTAAAATCTGTTAAGTGATTCTGTGATGTTTAGGATAATTGAGTAGTTTCTGAACACTGCTGCCCTCATGGCAGACATTTAAAGTTGTGAAGTGCAGGTGTAAGTTGCAAGGAGTGGACGTGCATTGAAAGATTTATTCTATTTGTTTTGCACAGTTATCAAGACTGAGATGGATCATGCTGAATTAGTATTTAAAAACCTTGGGCGTGATAGATAAATCCAGAATGTTCCAAACAGTTTAAAAACAATAAATGCTAAATTTGAACAGAACTACAACAATCATCAGTGCTCAAATTAGACAAAGACAATATTTTGCGATATTTACGTCTTTAAAAAAAATGTTTTATTCGGTTTTTTTTTACAAGATTACAGTATTTCAGAAAAGTCTCCAGTAGGCTTTAAAAATGACAAAAATAGCTTGGGAATGGCTGAACTGTAAATGATGAACTCTTGTAAAAACCCCGTTTTACACCATACATTTTCACAGCATTACTGCTATTGTAAATTAAACAGTTTGTCCTTTACTGGTGACAACACGCATGGCTTCTAGAGTCATAATTTGCGATGAAAGCTTTCCTGTGTTAGAGCTTTGTCTGGTTCGTGTTATAGGGATAATTATATGACAGTTCAGTTCAGCCCAACTACTTTATAGCCAGGAGGAAGCACAACCACCGCTGCCTGTAGCTTCCTGTCCAATAGCAGGAGCAGCACACAAGTCTGGGACAAGTTCAGTGGGTGTGAGAGGAGAAGCAGACAAAAACACGGCCAAGCTCAATTTGTGGAATCTAAATATAATTGTTAAGCTGGGGTTGTTGGTGTTTGTTCAAAGAAGCTCAGTGAAACGTGAGGTAAACGTGGAGCGCAAACAAAGAGACTTTTAGGGAGCTGCCTGCAGAGTCAAACTTCCTAACATCTGGTCTGCTGGAGAACGGGGCGAGCCGTGTAGTGAGACTTTGGAGGCGGAGAATACAATCTCTGCCGGAGAAAATGCTCTGAATCTGGAGTTAATGTCACCTGCATGCGCCACAGATAGTTGTTCTGTGCTCGTGTAAAGGGACTTAAGTGGAGACAAAGAGGAAACGAGGGCTCTTGAAGAGGGCTTGATGTCCACCTGAGGGGATAGGAGATGATTTAATCATTGTCACGGCTGCTCAGTCCCAGCCGCGGAGAAGGTAAGATGTTGTTTTCTGTATCGTTGGAATTGACTAAATTCAGTTGTGTAAAGTCAAGCAAAAAAAAAGGGGCTGAGCAGAGCTTAAGCTGACTTTGGCCCGAACATGCAGAGACTCGCTATTAATAAGAAGAACGCAGACCTGCAAGAAGGTAAACAGAATCCACCCGTTATGAGACATTTAGTGAGTTCAGGCCCTGCGTGTCAGCAGACGTTTCAAACTAAAGGTAGACTCTATTTAAAGCTGGTTAGAAGAGTCTACTCATCTACTCTAGATCTCTGGCACATTAAGTGTGTGTGCGGTGCCATTTCTTTTCTCTTTTCCCGAAGCTTCTTTAAACTTAATGTCGATGTAAAAGTTCAAAACCGAGTATCTGCGAGTTGTTCAAAGATAGTGAACCGTTTATGGAGCTAACGCGACCCCCAGGGCACACGTTCTTATCAAGTATTTTATCTAAACGTTCGCCGTGGCGTGTCAAAACTTTTCGAGCGACTCCGACCGCGGAGCGAGCTCGCGCGGGAGCGCGCGCCCAGCTGAGCACCGTCTGCGGGCGGCGCGCGCGAGGAATACAAGCAAGCACGTGAGGCAGACTCCACCGAACTTGTCTCATCTTAAAGAGTTACGGAACGTGCTCGAGGTTTATTGGCTGTTTGAGGCCCCTCGAACTTTTTTTTATTTTTTATTTAACCGCATATGGGACTTTATCGAAGCTAATTAAGCCAAAACAGAGGTAAGATGGACCAACTGGAAATCTTCCACTTTTTTTAATCCAACCGTTTAGTAAGAAGTGCAGCTATCCAGTTTGGTCTACATCTGTTACTTCACCCCATTTAACATGAGGGATTCATGCCGTTACATTATTATTCTAAGACAACGTGAGTCATTTTAAAGTAGTCTGTACTCAGTTGTTTCAAATAGGCTGTTCGTTTACAATGCTTTCAAATTATTTAATCAAGTAATCAAGCCAAATGAATGCGCATTACTCGTCCAACAGAACCTATTGTCTCACCTTTAGACTATCAGGATTGAAGATTGTTTTTCTGTTCATCTCATGCAGGTTCGTCATCTGTAATCTACCCAAAATAAAGATTCCTTTGGATTTTTTTAGTTAGTTTTGTTCTAAGGCTGCACTCTCGTTTAAGTTGTTTATGCCACATTTGTGCGTTTCAGTGAATCTTATTAAACCTGGACTGAAGTGAATCAATACAATCATAATCATTATTTGCCCAATATAAGTTTAAAGACTTTCAAAGCTACTCATAAAGGGGAGGGCACTGTTAAATGTTTTTGTGCTGTCAGCATTGTTTCATGTGAGCAGTCTGCCAATTCCTTTAAGGATTTTAGTATTGCTGAAAGGGATTTATTTTGGCTCTAATTGAGCCTGACTGCACCGCTCCCTTTGACGCACTGCAAAACAGCTCAATTTACTTCCCTTTACTCATTTTATTCAGAAAAGATGGTACATGTTAATGATCAAACAAAAGATAGAAATGGAGTTAAATTCATTTAGAGGCAGAAAACAATTTACAAGCTGTAGATCTTTAAATGTGATGATATGCAATTGTAACCTTGGAAAAGACATATCTGCTGCAATCAGTACTGAGATGAATATGACTAAAGAGAGAAAGGGAAAAAAAATCCTAAATGTTCACTGATCTGATTTGCCTTGAGCCAATATTTTAGAAAGTTTGATAGAAAGGGAATGTTAAATCCACTTCCTTGTTACAAGTCTGCTCCAGTGTTTACTTCCCTTCAGTAACAGTACAGGTTGTTCAAACGTGGTGTTCCTAATCCAAAAAGACAAATAACGTGTTATGTTTGCATCTCCCCTTCCTGTCTCAGCCTCAGTCACCCCCTCCCCGACAAGCCAGGCTCAGGCCCATGGACGAGGAGAGGAGTGTCGCTGCAATCTCACCAGAGCCACCTGATGATGGAGACCCTGGTCTGCCAGCTTCACAACCGAGTTCCCATGAAACCTCAAAAGGGGAGAGAGAAAACTGTGGCCCAATCCCAAACCCCTGTCCTAGTGAGGGTAAGAAACAAGCCCCAAAGTAAACACACAAGGACGCGCGTCATTCTGGTGTGTAGTCGGTAATCTTGTTGTGTATTTGTATAGGTTTTTTTTTAAAGGAAAAAATAGTTGCAAAATGTTGCTGAACTTAGTATTGCTCTTCAGAACAGTGGAATGGATAATAGTATGACATTTACTCTTTGTCAAAGAAAAAGAGAAGAAAGCGGCTGTATCTTCTATTAAAAGGAGAGCAATGCATTAGTATCACAGTTGTACATATTACATTCTTATGGCATAATTTTTTTAATTGTTAACTTTTTAAACAAAGCCATGGTTTGGATCTTAGTATAATTATAATTTTATGGAATTGTGAAATGGTGGATAATTGTTCCTTACAATATAAAGTTTTTCTGAGTTTGAGCACTGACTTCAAATCTTTTCCCTTTTAATCTATCATTAGCAACATTCATTAGTATAGTGGTGGACACTGATTAGTGATATCAAATGTCAGACAAAGACTGTTTCTCAGTGACCCGATGTCAGAGACTTTCCCAGTGACACACTGTCTTAAGAAGATCTGATGAGTCAGCACCAAATCAGCCCAGCCAAACACTGAAATGCCCCAAGAGCTCTCTTGGAAATTTGAAAATTAGCCCATGACATTTTGTCTTCTTGCCGGTCATGGTAAGAGTTGACTTACACTGGGGCAGGAGGATGTCAACTCAACTCTCAGTAGTTAGGTGCCTGAATGACTCATTCAGGATCTGCAAATTATGATTCAAGTTCCCTCAAGTTTCACAGAAAAAACAGCAGCCCCGAGTGCAGGTCCTCTTGGATAATTAGTGTAGGTGTGGTTAACAGTTAGGGTAGTGTGCAGAGATTTAAGTGGCTTGTTGCCATGGAAGCCTTCCACAAAAATGTTCAATGGTTCATGGATTTTTTTAATTGTTGTATTTTTGTTTTGTTTTGTTGGTTTGTTTGTTTTTTTTAAATGCCAGGCAAAGCTCATGCTCCCGTGATTGGCACGTTAGAGTTTCATTTCACACATGGACATCTCTTCTCTCGATCAGGCATTGTGGTTAACCAATATGACTAAAAGTATATATAGAACCAGAGTTTAATGATCATTCCTGAACGGTTTTATGGTTATTAAAGTGGAAGGTTGTGCCCAAACATGCTGTGTTGGCTGCGTTGACTCTACCTGAATTTACTCTTCAGGAAGCCGACATGAACTCTGTCTATGGCTTCTCTCACCAGAGTTTACTTGGGTGTTAGTGTGTTTGTAGGCTGAGGCTGGGTAGGTGAGCCGGGGGTGGATTGGTCAGGCTACCGCTGAGGGCAACAAGGCCCTGCTTTCACCTCTGAATAAACAGCACAGAGTTCTTGGACATTACAACAATCTACCTCAAGCTTTAAACAAACATTTGGCTGTTTTGCATTATCAGAAAGCAACGGTTTTTCTTTAGAAAAATACCTGGGCAAAAGTCTATGCTGTTCTGTCAGAATGTCATGTTAGATTCTGCTTGAGTTTGCAGCTGATGACGGCTTGTTTGTCTGTCACTTCTTGAATATGGTTTTCCTTTTGCTGGTAATTTACTGCTGTAAGACCGCTTAGAATCACGTTTAGAGATAATTCAGTGCCAGCTGGGTTTGCTACTGCTTTTTACAGTTTGCAAAGAATAAGCTTCGATGTCCTGGTCAGGTAAAAGATACTGGGTTATGACTATGTCCAGAGAGCCCAGCTCTGATGGTTGAAGTGTTTCTATTACTGTCACAAGGTGAACGTAAAGCCTTTTACTATATATGTTTGCTTGTTTTATTAAAAGCTTGTGCTAGAAGGCCGTAAATAGTCTTACCCTTCACAGTATGAAAATACACAAACGTTTGGTGAATGTAGTTAAACCTTGTACCCCTCCTGATACCTAGACAGCAGAGATTTCTAGGAGTGAATAGAGCTCTGCCCAGTCATATGATGGTGTGTGTGTATGTCGAGGGGGCCTCTTCTTGTTGAGTGTTTTCCTCACTCTGTATTAAGAAAGGATGAGGGGTCCACAAGTAGAAGCGTTTCAACACCACATGCTAAACTCCCTATTTTACTTTCACCACAAGTTTTGTACTGTCTTTCTTTCTTGCAATTTTCACTTTGTATAGAGCTTGATGTAGTGACCACTGTATGTTCTGTCTCATACTAATGTTTGACATTACTAGCAGGACTTATGAATACCACTTCTACTGGTAAAATGTACTTTCTCACACACTGTTTGGTGAGAAGGATTACACAACAGAAGAGGTATTATTACTTAGTTTTACCACCAAATGTCCCAGGAGCATTCACAAATGGGCTCATGTGAAACAAAAATGTTGTATCAAACGAAATTGATGTGTGATTTGTCGGTGGTTGACTGTTGACAACAGCTGTGTCACACAGTTAGGTGTGTGAAATTAGGTTCCAGTCAACCATGCAAAACATACTCATTCACTGGAGCCCAATGAGATCCCCCCTTTTGATTTAAATCTATTTATTTGGACAAACTGTGAGGAAACATTACAATAGTAACATGGAATTTATTTGCAAAATATTGTTATGATTAACTTTGTAAAGCTATGAGCTGGTATTTTAGTGCTGTGTGAATGTATTTTTGCGCCAGTGGATATTTATACACAGCAGGTAACTGTTCCTTTCCTACTTCCCTTGCGTATTGCAGACGTGGTGCTTAGATTTGGGGATCAAGCAGCATTTGTATAATCCCCAGTGCTCACCACTGTAAAATGCATCCTCTGTTTATGTCACAGTCTAAACTTATCTGATTTAATTTCCCTTCTCCATGCTCATGTCCATTTCATCTGTCTTTGCTTGAGTGTGTTGATGCATCTATTTTTTTCACTTGTCTCCTTTTAGTGCCTGAGGTTTGCTGAAGCTTGTGTCTAATTTTGTTTCTCACAGAGACTGAAATAAACTTGGAGCTCGTTTTACGGCATATTTGAGTGACGAAAATCAGCATGCTTTATTTTTCTTTACCACCTCACAAACATCTAAGAACTGGTTGCTGCTGCAGCTTTGGTGGTCTGTTCAGTCTCTCTTCTCCTCTCACGAGTGGCTGACACGACATACTCTTAGAAACACTTTATCACTTTATCAGGGTTGTTTAACTCAGCTTCTGAATGAGAACTGTACAGCAATCGTCATCATCGTCCTTAAGTTTCAAGACTTAAATTTGTCATAAAGAATTTCAACAACACTGTTTTCAGCTGTAGTTAAGGCTTTAGAAGAATGACTCAAATATGACACAAATACTAAAAATCCTTGTTGCTGAACAGTCAGGTTTGCTGATTAATTCTTTTCTTCAGATTGGAAGCAACCCACAAACAAGTAAATGAAACATCAAACTTTGAGCATTTTCCTTTAACCACATTTTCTTATGTAGATAAAAATGGTTGCAGCTTTCACCTTTCACCAGGCTTTTGATTATGATGGTTGTTGGTCACTTGTCTGGAGGTTTTTCTTACACATTCATTTCAGAGGAGGCCTGGGCTTGCTGAGGAGATTACATATTATCTGGGTCTTCAAGGAGCAACTGGAAAGCTTTGCTTGGGAGAGGGGCAAGTGGAAAGCACTTAGCCCGTTGCCACCACGACATGACCTCACATAAGTGGGAGAAAATGGACAGATTAAGTAACATGGCAAGGCTTTAGCTTCATTTCACCTGTCCATCCACAGCCCCTCTGTGTTCACAGGCAACAAGAAACTAATGAAATTATGTATTTTGCAGATGTATTTTCCCATGACCTAGAAGATTCTCGGAGACAAAGGAACACAATTAAATTCCTCTTAAGCCTGTTCAACAGCAGACAGTTTTTGTCTTTAATGAGCTTACACTTCTTCATTCTCCATGCAGCAACTATAATCTCTGATTTTGGATACATTCCAAAGCCACACTCAGTGTGTGTCTGCATGTGGGCTTTTTGCTTCTGGCATGTTTTCAGCTCAACAGTTGTCTCTTCTTTCTTTTTCTCCTAGTGTGTGTATTCATGTGTGTATATTTGTGAGACTTGAAACCACACTACTGCTGTGGCTGAGTGTTCTTGTCTTGGTCAGAGCCCTGGTTGTTGTTTGATTTAATCAGTTCCAGCTATTAGTGCTGACCACAGATAAACTGTGATGTCTTTTGTTCTAACTCTGCTCCAGTGAACATTGTCAATCTTAGATACTTATCAACTAATATCGTAGTGTGTCTTTTATTTCCAGATGATGATCATATAAAACATGGGAATACTTAAAATTCAGAAGTTTTAAGGTGCTTAATCATGGCGAAAACAGGGATTAACCTATGGAGGAGCTGTTTTGGGGATAGCCACACTTTTATGATGCGTGAAGCTTAAGTTTTGATACTAAGTGCTGAGGGCCTCACTTAGCATGCTTTTAAAATGGACCTTGCGTTTTCTAAGTATCGTTGGTTCAATTTGCATGCACAACAGATGTAATGTGGAAGATGTAGAAAAAAAGATTTAGGTCTTTTTAAAGGGGATGGCAGACTCATCTGAGCTTTGCCAATGCTTCCGTATGAACCAGTACTCCCTTTATACCACATCACGACTAGAGGAACAGCAGGATGTGCTCCCCTGCAGGTGATACAGGATATGGCACGTCATTTTCCTACTCTTATAAATAGTTGTTGTGGGTGTTTGTGCATGTGTCGTGTTTACGCTAATCATTACCCTATGTGATCCATATGTTTTTGCTTTAACAGTTAACTGTTTACTAGGAGGCCAAAATTCCTCTGAGTCACTCCTCAAGGGCCACTGACACGTGTACTGTACATACAGCAAACTACAAATACATGTGAACACACAGAGCACATACAAGCCTTCACAAACACACATAACCGCCCCAAGAAGCAAACACAACCAGCTTTCCTTAGTAAATCGTGATTGCTCTGGTCTGATTTTGATTAGAGACTCATCTCTCTCAGATGACAGGAATCCTTCTGAGGTTGTGCGGCTTAGTGGTTTGATGCTGATCCTGATGCCAACACACAACTGGTTGGAGGGCTGCTTTGATGGGACTACGGTTTTGGTGGAAATGTGTTTAGGTCCAACAATTGTGGTCTTGAATGTTTACAGAGAGAAAAACTAGTGACATGACAAGAACCATTCACTTTTAACCCATTATATCCAATTTGCAGCAGGAGTCTAAAGATGTACAAACATTTTGCACTGTGATATCAGTTAATTCCCACTCCTATTGTGCAGGTGTGCATATGTATTAATTTAGTTTGATTTTAAGATTTTTTTTTACATTTGAAGTACAGACTGTGTGGCCCATTGTTTGTTGTAATGATATCAACTTTATTACGCTGATACAATAATTCCACAATTTTCTTCTCACAGATATTGAAACAGTTTTCCTATGTTCATGCACCTAAGAAAATTAATGAAAAACTAGATGACTGAATGTGAAACTAAGAAATAGTGTGTTTTTTTTCTTTTTAATCATTTAAGGAACTTCTGTTTTCTGTTTGACTGCCTATGTAGATTGTGATCAAGAAAATGGGCTCAGTAGAGCACTCAGTTCTGCCAAGAGGGCCATTTATGCTAATCTTTCTCACTTTCTTTCACCCTTTGGTTTTAGCTTCATCAGCATGATGTGCCTCGCTCACTGTAGTTAATGTTTAGGAGATTAAATGAAAAAAAATACAGTTTTTATTCTCAAAGGTTAATTACATTTCTATATTTTTATGTTAAATAAAACTGGAGTTTGTGCCACTGACATACATAGCTGACTATGCTAGCTTCGAGGGTTTTTAAAAGGGACATTCATATCTGCAGTGTAATGGGGGATAATTAAATTATAATACATTTAGAAAAATGACTTTCACATGGATTAGAGAGGGCTGTATGGTTTTGTGGTGGTAAGAACTGTCAGATCAAAGTAAAAATGGTCCTGGTTCAAATTTCAACTAGGACCTCTTTATGTGGAGTCTGCATGTTCTTCCTGTGCATGCATTAGTTCTTCTCAAGTACTCTGGCTTCCTCCCTCTGTCTACAAGGGGAATCTTAAGTTATATGACAATCAGAAATGTATTAAGTGTGAATGTGGATGGTATTTGGGAAGTTCACAGTTTTTGTTTGTTTGTTTGTTTTGTTTAGTTTTTTCGAATGGGTGAAATGCCCCAGAAGTATCTGGATAGTAGCCATGAAAACATCTGGAAAAGTTGGAATTCTCAGTATGGCAACAACCCTCAGTCCTGCCTTCATTGTCTACTTTAGAAAGATTAACACAGGGTCATCTTTTACAAAAGAAAGTAATATACCTCTATCCCATTATTCCATGTGGTTGCAGCCGTCATATTTACCATAATTCATCAGGATAAAAGTGTAAACAGTGTGAACAGACATTATTGATGACTAATGATGACAAATGAATATTCTATATCATATATTATTTTGACCAATAGTGTCTATGTAGCATAGTGGTAAAATTACATGGATAAATTACACAAAGCACTTTGTCGAAAATATTTACTGTTAATCTGTTATTTTAGTGAGGCAAAACCACAGATCACTTTATGTGTTGCCTTTTTTTGACCTGACTAAGGTTTGTCTGAATACACAAGACAATAGGTTTTGTGACAAGAACTGGAAGTTCATATAAAAACATAGATGAGTATGTATTGTTTGGATGTTTTTGTCTGTCACAAGTGTTTCAGCAATGGGTATAACTGTGTGATAGAAGGGAAGAGTGGGAAGTACTTCCCATTCCTCCAGGTCCTGTTTACATGTTCTCCAGCCTCTCATTCGCTGATATTCATCCACACACAGGCGCACTGGCATACATGAGCACATATCCATGAAAGTGAAGGATAACAATAAACACCACTGTTCTTCTTCATCGGAGATAGATCAGCTTCTCTAAACAAGTGTTTCAGACCTGTAACTTTGATATGTTGTATAATCCTAGCAACAGAAAAACTGTTCGCTTAGGGAGGCTAAGGATGACTGGGAAGATCGTTGGGTTTTCCTGTTTACCTGCTCAAAATAACTTTTCTTTGTTGTCCATTCAAACAGTACAACATAATAACTGTTACCAAAAGAGGACTACGACAACTGAAAGGAAAAAACTATTTATCTGTTTTCAGGAATTTTACAATAACAAAAAACAACTTTATGTTTAATGATTTCAATCAACACAGCTGATTTTATTTGATCATTTATAATATAATTTGATAAACAAACACAATTTAACAAAAGTATGTCATTGTGTCTTTTCAAATATATGGCATATTTTTAAATGACAATAGAGGCACATAAAACACAGAAACTCCTAAAACAGAAAACCTGAGGTTTGTTTATTGTCATTTTTCGTTTGAATACAGACATTACTCATTAAATGATAATTTAGTCTTAACTTAATTATCATTACGATTAGCAGTTATTCATAACCAATAAAGGAATAGAGATTATCAAAAAACTTAAATTTGATGGGAATTAATCTATTTCATAAGCAAAACAGAATATCCTGTCAAAAACATTGATTTATAGCTGTAACTGTATTGTGAGGCACTTCTTTTTCACTGTTTTAAATTCATTTTAATTAATTTTACTGGACAAATTTTACTAGAAATGTTTTAGTCAATACCCTGGAAACAAAAATGTTTGGGAATAAACTGAGAAGATGGTACATGGCAGATATGTCTAATCAAGCAGTACAATCAGAAGTGGAATTATTCCTTTTTATTACAATTTTCAACAGCTATGCTGAGGAAATATGACTGATCCCCCTAAATTCAGAGATTAAATATACTGAATTTGGCCAAAAATGCAAAGGAATGTGAACGGAAGAGGAATGGTGTGAGAGCCAGGGGACAGGAAAGCGAGGACAGATAGAGAAGTGAGGCAGAGCAGATAAAGTAAATAAACATAGCCGGGAAGTGTTCAGTCCACGCACAGGACGTGGTTTGGTCTGTGTGTCTGTGTGTGTTTATCAGGCCCAGCTGGCTCCCATTTGCCCAGGAATGAGTCTGCACCTCTCAGAGGCCCGCTCCTGCCTAGCTTTGAAGGCCTGTGTGTTGTGTTGTTGGTGAGTGTGTATGTGTGTGTGTGTGTGTGTGTACGTGGACATATATATATATGGTATAAATATGTGTCTATTTGTAAAATAACAGATTCATTAGAGGGGTGTTTGACATCTTTGGACACTAAAACACCTAGACATATATTTACTGCAACTATATCATGCGTACGTCTTCTTATGTGCTCAGTTTATATAGACATCAATTCTCAAACACAAACAGACACCCATACACACACACACACACACATATAGACCCACACAGATTTCAGGTTTCACAAGTATTCACATAGACCCCTAAACAGTCACAAGAAGTTGGATTTAACTGCTTCCAGATGGAAGTTTAGGACACAGCACACACCAACACAAAACCTTGCTTTGTTGAAGTCAGCAAAACTACTCTCTTCAAATTAATTAAGTGTTAGTGGATGGGAAATGACAAGGGAGTTTACGGCAAGTGTGGAAATAGATTTCTTATAACCGGAATAAAAATGGAAATCTAAATGAGCACACCCACCGACTCAGCTCATTACAGATATAAAACATTAGGGTCTGTTTTATTGTTTTAAACTGTCTGTGTGTACCTGTTTTTGTGTTTGCTATGCAGATGTGGCCCACATCTACACCGAGCCCCTCATATTGAGGGTAAATGGCACAGCAGAAAGGTTGCAAGGTGATGATGGAGACCATTGCAATTACACCTCCAGCCTCTCTCAGTCGATGCTTACAACACCCAGCAAGAGTGTTACATGTGAGTAAAGCCCTGTGATCAGTGTACACACATACACACACACATGATTTGAAACACATTCACAGAGAGCACGATGAGAGTTTTATTTCCATTGTTGATCTATGGTGAAATTGTGCTGACCTTTAACAAATACATTTGAGCACTCTGAAAAAATCAGTCAGGTAATCAAACGAACAGATGGCAATACCTACATTAATAGCTCTATTCAAACTAAGCTGGTTTGAAAATCTGCACATTTGTAATGTTTCATTTCTCATCTCTTCTGCTTTCACCTCTCTAATTATTTGTTCCTACTACTGTATGGGTCTTTGTTGACACCAACAGTGGCTTTGTAGACATTGTGTGCGTCAAATTGATCTTCCAAAAAAATATTCAGCGAAGAAGTCCTGATGTCACATACAGAAAAACATGTTACGCAGGCATATGTGAAGTACACGCGTCACTGTAAAGGTTGGGATTTTACAGTATGTTTGGCATTTGATGTGCAGCTTTGATCATTCCATTGGTAGATGTGTAAAGGATTGCCATTTTAGACAAGCATGCACAGACATTCACTTACTGATTTATGACCTTCCTGTTGATTCTGGCACATGCATGCTGGTCATGTGAAACATGGTGCCAGTCAAATGTTTTGACACTTTCCATTAATTTTGAATGACTGAATTTGTACAAAATCTTTACTTCTAGTGTGTCTTTTTATCGCATGATGTAAGGATTTTGATTAACTTTTTCGAATAAATGATCCCAAAACACTAATCTGGATAAAAGGTGTTTGTGCTATGTGCAGTACCACTTTTCCTGTCACTTGTGATTAGTTTCACTTTGCTCAAGTCCTCCATAACAACTTGCTCTCTCAGTGGCTTTCATGAACCATCCCCAGTGTCTGTTTAAGGCTCATCTCATACTGTCATTAAATTGCACTTTATGAGTCACACGCTAAAGTTGTGGAATGTGAGTCACTTTAACCAGTCCAATTAAACCCCACCTATGGCATTTAGAGTCGCATGCAAAGTCAATGGAGAATTGTGATTCGAGACAAATTGATCTGGGACTTTTTCCCAGTGTTTGTCCATTGCCCATGGCTTTCCATTAAACGTCTTTCCATTCTTGTCTGATACTTGGCTCATCTGTGTTATATCCCTTGGCTTGTTTTGTCATACTTTGTGTCTCATGATGCACCAAATGTTTTCAATTATTTAAAGGTCTGCACTGCAGGCAGGTCAGTCCAGCACCTGGACTCTTCTGCTATTTAAACGATTAAATGGATTTAAACAGTTCCAACAGTGCAATATGACAGCAATTACCAAAAGAGGAATAAAGAATGTCACTAATGTTATGTGTGCAAGTGGAATAAGGTTTTTATCAAGGAGGATTGCATTATGCTTTAAACATTGTTTTAAAATTGGTAAATTGGTAAATGGTAAGTTTATATTTGTTCAAATAAACTTTCAATTTATCTGTAAAAATGGATCTGATAGTCATTTTGCAGTGGTAATCCAGTAAGAACACTGCTGGAGGAGAGCTGTTTTTTATTTTCTGTTCTGAAAGTCTGAGCTACTTCCTAAAATGCACAGCTTCCTAGTTTCTGTGGTTGACTATGTAGCATTTCTGTCTCCCTTCCCTAATGAGATTAAATAAAGCTATTTTTTTTTATTGGTTTCACCCTAAACAGTGCCATGAAAAAAGAATAAACATGCTCTACGGTGGGCTAAACCTGTCCCTCCTGTCATTTCCAGAAAAGGTGGAATTGTGTACGTAAATGGGCGATGAATGAAAGAAGAATTTGAGTGAAATGGGGGTTGTATAAGCTGACAGCAAAGTACGTGTTAGGTGACATTTTTTTCTCTGGATGCAAAGGCTAACCATTGGTGACATGGTAATAGCTAGTTTGTTGAAGCTAAATAACTTTCATTTCAGGCAGGAAATGGATAAGTGTATGAATGCACTGTGCTTGGAATTGAGTAGGCGTGTTAATGGTCTGCTGCCCGAATTTGCTGCCTCTACCTGTCTTGTTTGCTGCGTGTGCTTATTTTTAGGCCAGTGTTGGACGGCTGAGAATTTGGGGTCTGACTTTTTTTCAGCTTCTCTTCCTCTTTTATTTTATATGCCAGTAAAATCCATGAAACCCACCAGCTCCACGTGCTGCGCATGGAGTGTTATGCAACTGCCGTGGTCTTGTACAAAATGTACTGCCATGTGTACCAGTCTACATTGGCTTTGGCTTTGCCTTCATCTGCCCCCCAAACTTCAAACCTTAAAAAAAAAATAGATGAGTGATCACAGGAATTGGATCATGCCATTAACACTTGTAAATTATAAACTTTTTGTCTTTTTCTTAGATTACTTCAGAATAATTACATGCAAAACCTAAAGAGAGAATATTAGATGCACTTTATTGAACCCTAAACGGGAAATTACGGCCCTGTGTACATGTAAAATTTTTGTTTGTGTGAAACGGTTTGTGCAGCTCTTTAAATGTGATCTGTGTTATTTAAAAACCAATAAGTCAGTCATCTGTTCACAGTATTTGGCTTCATAATGAGCACATAGTCATTATAACATGTGACTCAGGCCTGTAGTGAGATCATAGCTGTGTGACATCTGTGAAGAGTGTTTGCGAGGGAGAGTGTGAGGAAACAGAAGCACAAACAGAAAATTCCATAGTTCCTATGTTCTGTCTCGCAGTGATGACATCACAGTTTTAGTATGCGTCTGGCCCAAAGCCTATGTTAAGCTGTCTGAGAACAATCAGCAGAGAGGTCTACCATATGGGAGAGTGTGTTTTGACTTGACTCGAACCCAGGTTCACATACACAAACCACACTTGGGAAAGTGATGTCATGAGCACAATGCTGTCTTTGACGTCACGCTCACAGCAGGATACACATGTTCACAGATGTTTAACTGCCTAAATTCAAGTGGAAGCAGATACACATGTAATTCATTACTGACACGATCACAGTAGCGTAGGCAGCATGAAAGCTTTGCTGTCTATTTTTATCCATTTTCACTATTTTAGCAGCCAAAGTGGCAAACTGATGTCACGTAACATACAGACTTTTAAAGTTTATTTAAGGGAAATGCTGAGTGAAGCTGTTTGTTATTGTCTTGTTAACACAAGGGCAGTAAAGCACAATGGTCTGTTTTCTTGTGGTAAAGCAGGATTGTGACATTTCTTTTAATAAGCGAAGTCTGTATTAGAAAGTTTACCTTTGTCTGGAGAGATGTCACATGAAACATGCCTCATTGACAGTTTGTTAATGTGTCAGCTCAGTCTTGACTCACATTATATTCTTTTTGCATGCATTTTTTTCACGAACCAGGCCTTGCCAGGAGGAGTAAAAGTAAAAAAATATTGTCATATTGATAACTGTAAAATTGTGTCTCCTTTGTAAGTCGCTTTGGATAAAAGCGTCTGCTAAATGCATAAACATAAACATATATATATATATATATATATACGTAAAGATGAGAGTAAAAAGTACTCTGTATATAGTTTAACTCTTCAGCCAACACAGACTAACTACAAAGGAGACAGTCAGATAAAACAGCTGGACAAGAGACAGACAGAATCAGTCATGACTCATACCAGCAAAGAATAAGTAGAGAAAAATCTAGCCTCTGGTCTGGGTGGGAGGTGTTTAAGTACAGGGTAGCTGAGAACAGGAAAGGAGTAAGAGATGAAGGGTGTGTGAATGGCAGTGTGCTGCTGTTAGCAAATGATTGTGACTAACTCATGCTCATTTACAGGCTCAAGATATCTGCAAATGGGTCACACTAAAACCAACACTACAGTGTAATTGTCCCAAACACACTGTAGTTTTTTAAGTCTCATCATTTAAATGTCACAGTCATTTGGCTCCTTTTTTTCGTTTCTGCTGTTATTTTTAACCAGCTCCCACTGCTGAATCATTGTGTGTATGAGTCACACCCATGCGTCCTCCTGCTTCAAAAATGCCCAAGCAGCAACAGTCTTCTTCAACTTCGATCTTTTTTCTCCCTTACTTTTTTATGGCAAACAAAAGGACCTTGTTTTCTTTCTATGTGCATAAGCAGTGTGTGACCACACGTGTTTTTGCACACATATGTATTTGTATGTGTGTGTGTGCGCCTGTGCGAGTGTGCGAGTGGGTTTAACCTCAAGCTCTGTTTGGAGACAATCCTGACTCGCCGTCTCTCTCTCTCTCTGTCTGTCTGCCTGCCAGATCCGCCTTTGTACTGTGTTCTCTCTCTCTCACACACTCACACACACACACCACAAACTCATAAGAAGTATGAATTCCTCAACAACTCAAAATACCCCTGAGGACAAGTCAAAACTAAAGGGAAAAGTGAAAAATTATCCACAGCTTCCCTCCCCCTTTTTTTCTAATCCCCTTATTCTCTTAGTGAACTGTGACCTGGCCAACTGAGAATATTAAGGCAGAGAATTACATGAAATAGTAAAGGGAGCAAAAGAAAGAATCTAAATGGGAGAAAGGTAAGACACAGAGGAGGGTTCTTACCTTGGGAAGAACTGAAGGGAAAGAGAGACATAACCCAGAGAGCAGCAGGTATTGACTTTTGACATACTTTAGAGAAGAAAGTATGGCTTCTTCTTCTTCTAGCTCTGCACATGCATGCACATCCACACCGGTCCTGGAGCCTGCCAAACATCTGGAGCAAAGTTAGAAAACGCTGAATGAAAGAATCTTAAATAACACTGGCTTGGTTGTGTGACCACGACCACCAGCCAATCAAAGCAGGCTTGACTGGGTTATCTGCAGCAAAGTGGTTATCAAACACACAATTTTGTTGTTTTTCATGTTCAGAGGATGAGATCAGGAGACAATTTGAGTGCGACTGCGTTTGTATTGGTTTAGGGGATTTCTTGCCGGTCTTTAGTAGTCAAGCTTTCTTGAATCTTACCAAGCTTCTGCACACAAAATCCTTTCAGGTTTAGTTTTTTTTTACGGTTTTATGGTTGTAGGGTCTTATTTTTAGAGTGTTTGGCAACGAAAGTGACTATTTCTGACCCTTTTTCGTTTTTTGAGTTGTTAGGCGGTGGCTTTTAGAGGTAAAATGCACCGATGCTCAGCCAAGATAAACATGCTCAAGTGTCTGTGCTTTCTGTGTTTTTAATTAAGAAAGCATTCACAAAAAATTATAATTTCAAGGAAACTCTCCCTTCCTTCCTAATCTTTTTGTTTTACCTGCCTTTACTAACTGTCTGGACAATTACAATCAGGGGTCAGCTCAGTAAACATGTTTAGTAGTACATCCTCTGATCAACTGCATTTTGGACAGGCTTTGTTTCTTGACTCAATTCTCGTTTAATGGAACTGTTCTATATTAAACTGTCATGTCACACTGTGCAGTTCCATTATTCTGACATAAACTAATGCTCACACAGCATAGGTCTTTCTATCATGTTCATATATTGTATAAATATTATAATAGTCTTAAAAGATTTTCAATTCTACAGCATTTGGTAGAAATATTGATAATTTATGAGAACACAAATATTTATCAGCTAAGCACTGTTGTGCTGTATAACTCTGAATCTATGTCAAATCAATACTCAGATCAGTTCAAACTCAAATTCAGACAATTTATTAAGACAATTTATTAATCAATTAATCCTGTTCTAAAATACAATGAGCTAAATGTATTTGGATAGTTTTGAAATGGTATTGTCTTCTGTATTTGATAAAACTATGTGCTTTGTTATTCCCTAGCTCAACCGGCTGCCAGATCTACACCCATTCACCACACGCAGCCATGTGTATTGCAGCCCGGCAGCCAACTACGCAACGGAGCCAAGAGTCATGAACACCCACACTCCACTCCATCGCACTGTCCGCACCACACACACACATCTCATCTGCATGCACTACAGACCAACGCTGTAAGGAACGGTGGCTCTCATAAACACCCCAAGCTGGGCTCTCTCCCGCGAGGCGGCTCGTCCACCTCCTCCTCGTCTTCAGCAGGACCCAAACACACCAAGAAACTGCAGTCCAACCCTTCCATCACCTCCCAGGGCAGCAGGAGGAGCAAAAGCAGCTCCAAAAGCAACAATTCCCAGATTCCCACAGAGGCACAGGATGGTGAGATGCGCATACAGATACTGACAGGGAGATTTCTAGCAAGCAGAGTGGATGTCACGGACAGCAAAGTTTATCACTTTTGTACTAGCTGGTCTGAACAGTAGATCCTTCCTCAGATTTTCCCTGAATTTAGTATGCTCAAAAATATTACTGGTTTTAGTTCGGTCTCCTCTGTCCTATCCACATTTATGATACAACTTTATTTGGAAAACGTTTGAGCTTCAAATACCAACTGACATTCATCAATGGCCTGTAGAGAAATTAATTCAAACCTTTACGGACTCCAGATCAGCTTTCTGCTATTTCTTTTTTATGTGTTTAGTTTGTTTTTTCAACCTTTATATATAGAGTAAATCGTTTTGTCAACTTCTTGGTTTTTAGATTTGAGCAAACAAAAAAAAGACAAGCTGAAAATAACCTCTCATTTTGAACTGAAGATAGTGTTAGTGAAAGAGATGGCCTACTCTTTTCACAAACCTGAAGTAATAACCTGAAATGGTTTGTCTTAGACTTGTCTTTTAAATTACTTTGAGATCTCAACAAAGAAGAGAGTTGGCCTGTGTCTAAGCAGAGGGGTTTAAGATAGCAGACTTATTACAAAGGGGAATTTTGTGAGACCAGAAAGGATTTTTTCATTCCTTATAAATGAACATGTCATTAGTCAGTGTGCTAATGGTGCCAGGTCTAAAAGAATTATCAGTAGTGACTATTAAAATTTTCACTCTGTCTTTCTCCTTTTTTTCCAGACTGCTGTGTTCACTGTATTCTGGCCTGCCTCTTTTGCGAGTTCCTAACTCTGTGCAACATTGTGCTGGACTGTGCCACCTGTGGCTCCTGTGCGGGCGACGACTCGTGTTTCTGCTGCTGTTGTGCGTCGGAGGAGTGCGGGGACTGTGACCTGCCCTGTGACATGGACTGTGGCATCATTGATGCCTGCTGCGAGTCTGCAGACTGCCTGGAGATCTGTATGGAGTGCTGCAGCCTTTGCTTTTCCTCCTGAGCCCCCGCCCCCCCCACCCCCACCCCAACCCACCCACTCCATCCCCAGTCACCACCAAGTCCAGCAATGTAGATATCTGTAATACCCTCCCGAAGGCCCAGGAGCAGCTATGAGCAGCGTCCCAGCGCCATATCGTATGTTTCCTTGTGAGTTTATCAGACAAAAGATGTGACTCAGTGCTGAGGACAGACTTAGATTCATTCATACTTCCTTTTGATTACATTGCAGGACAGTAACTCTGGCATTGTCCCAGCTTTTGGTTTATTACTGCACAGCTGGGTGTGTGGTTTACAGAAAATTCCAGCACTGATCTGAAAGAGTCTGCCTGCCTGTGCGGACTGAGCCTCTGGACCCTTACTGAACCAGCTATTATTACAACCGAGCCTCTGGTGCCGTCTGAATTACTGGAGTTCTCCAAGCATGAAAAATGACCTCCATAGGCAAATGAGAAAATGGCTCCATTTAACCGGATTTTAGTGTTTCTGTAGATAAGAGCAGTAACATAATGGGAAAATGGACGCTCAGATCTCAGTTGAAACAGTCTGTCCTCCTGTCCTTGGCAAGGTTATAGTGTCCCAGTTTGATTTCTTACAGTGGCCTTTGGAAAACACACATTCCAAGTGAGAGAAACTAAATCCTCCACTATATTTGTCCTGGTTGCATCATTCTAGTAACAGAAAACATCAATGGTGGCTTGTGGCAATATTATGGACAGATATCTTTTGTTAATAGGCATCTTTTATTTCTGGACTGATTCAAAGATGAGCCTCATCCTTTAGCCAGGGCGTGGAACCCATGAATTAAGTACTGTAAGTAATTTACACATTTACTACTCTAACATGTGAAGGGAGAGCATTGTGATGCAGAGGTGTCTCTTCACTTATCTTTCCATACCCTGTTTACTTTTACATTTAATTTGATAGGCTTTGAGCATATTCAGTGAACTTGTGCTCTTCCGATAAAATACTGGAAGCTATCATCTCATTGCAATACATTTAATTTTTCTGTCATTCTTGCTATGTGAACAAATGGCCTTGCTTTAGCTTAAGGCCTGAATTTTCAAGAAGGTTCCTTGCCTTTTCCAAATCTCCATTAATCCTTGTTTTGTAGATTTTAGTTAAGATATTTGCATTTTTCCTCTAATGTGAAAAATCACATTTCTGTGTTATCGGGTTCTGCTGGGCTTTCCATAAAAAAGATATTGCTCAACATCTAATTTAATTCCTTGAGTGAAAATCTCCTGAAATTATGCTAAGCTAGATCCTCATGCTCGTTTTATGAATGGTACCATTTTGATGATAGGCCTGCTCCCTCCATATGCTGTGGAGTTACCATCTCCAACCTAATACCTCTTAAGATGTCACATAGATTGGTTGTGCATTTTCAAGTGACTTGATACAAATCTATTTCCTTTAAAAAAAAACTGTAAGAGATGTCCTTTCTTATGGAAAACGCCAAGGAGTTTGCTACTTCTGGATCTTAGTCTTTAGACCTATTGTGCCATATTGTTGTAGCTGTGTTGATTAAACCCTATTTTAAGGGTTTAAATGTAACTTTTGGGATAAGAACACGCTACAGTATTACTCAAGTTAATAGCACCAAAGCAGAAAATGCAGGATGCATATTACAGCTTGAACTTTTATTGTATCTAAGGAATCACACCCTCAAACTCAAGTGAGTCCAATCCTGGAGAGCCCTGGAAGCAATACAAATTGGTAGATATTTACAAATGGAGAACTGATCACAATATTCGATGATGTGCACAGAAGGGGTAATAATTCAAGTTATTTGTACTTACAAAACACCACACGTCCCTTCATCTAAGGAGCTGTTCTTTGTCACCAGACCAGGAGGGTTTTGTGATAAATATCACTGGTGTGTGCAAGGTCATTTCAAAAGAAAAAGAAAAAAGGTATCCTTGGCAACACTTGTTACAACCGAGGACTGGTTATAGAAATTGTTTGTGAAACAGTTGTGTAACCATCGTATTGTCAGTATAACTGCGTAAAATTACAGTTTCCATTTGAATCACGAAAGTCTCTCAGTTAAATCAGCTCAAACCTCAATGCTTTCCTACAATCCCACCCTTTGCTGTAATGATTTCTATACAGCTTCACTTCTGCATCAGAAAGTTGTTTACTTCTATTGCTTTCAACTAAATAACATCCTGACTAAATCTCCATATTACTGCAAATGCTTTAACTGATTAGCTATGACACCAGTCCACTTCCAAAATCCCAAACACAAGACAATGAGTGAGTTAAAGGTAAGAAAAGTTCAAACTCCACATTCAAAAACCTAAAAACAATGTACGGCAGCAATCGTCCAGCAGGTGTGAAACAGCTATGCTATGGTCAGACATGATGCACTGCTATTGAACACAACGACATAATGCCGCAGCATTCTTTGGGTGACAGATTTGTGGTTTGAGTTGTTAAAATTTTCACTCTTCTGTAGTGGCCGTTTTAGCAATTTTCCAAATGTAGCTGCTCGGCAGATATTTATATGATCGATAGATTTCTTACTTTTCACTACGGTAGCCTAGTCACACAAAAAAGTTGAATCAATGAGTTGAGAAACTCAACCAGTTAAATAAACTGTTTCGATCTTTTTGTATTTATAATGAGAAGTTCATCACAACTTATCGTTATATCTCTATTCACAAACACTGTTTACCTAGTCTGGTGATGGAGAACGCTATGCAGAATGCTCCTGTGCTATAAACTCATCATCTCCAAATATCCGTCAAGCACTCCTTGTGATTCTGGAAAAGAACAATTTCCATTTCAGAGATTTCCATATTCAGTATTATACTTGTTTTTTTTACATTGACTATAGAAATATCTGTCTGTTTTATGGAATTTGGATATCAATTTGAAAGACTGGCTGCCTGTGCTTGTAGTCTGAACGTTGTAGCCCAGAGGAGTTCTTACTAGACTGTAGTCCACTATAATGTCATTTTGTTTACATTACCCCAATTTATTGACTGTTTGAGTTGCTGTTTTGGAAGTCATATTAACGTCTCTTGTTTAGTACTGAATAAACAATGTGAACTCCTCTCTGCATGAATCATTTATTCTTTATCTCCATACTGAATTAAAGGAGGATTTTGTTATATTGTCATGAGTGCTCTTGTTTTCCAGTAATTCAGCTTGACACAAAAATAACCAACGATGGAGTGAAACGACTGTGTCTTTAAATGCATGGTCTACCAACTTATACCTCAAAATACAGCGGTAGCTGACAATATGGCTGACAATTTGCCAAAGTATTCAATGGTAGTGTGTGTTTTGAGCATTACATCAGTGAATCGAAATGTTCTTCCTCCTATCCTTTTCATGCTCTTCGTATTTTATCTCTTGTGTTAAGCATTTACTTTACGTCTCATGGTAACAATTCCCACCATACTTCATACTTATGCTTAGTTTAGGATGTGCTGTCCGCAAAACATTGGACAGTGTTTCTTAAACACTCTGGGTAAAGTTCATCTGGACGAGGTTCAAAGATTGCCCCGAGCCAAGTATCTACAAAGGATTGAGCTACTGTTTCTATTGTGTGTGCGGGAAACCCAGAACAAAATAGAGTGTGTGTGTATGGGAGGCAATTCAGATGACTCAGGTCAGACAGAGAGACGATTCAAGCTTCTGAGTGGGAGTAGTGACACAGAGGACATCTCTGGACATCTGCAACTGTTTTGCAAAGATCCAATCTGCAGTCGGACCTCATTTCCTTTTCCATGAGCACACACATGCACAAACACATACAAAACGTAACCCCCCCCCCCCTTCAGACATTTCATATGCACAAAGCAGACACAGGGGACAAGTGGCTATTGAATATTAACCATGAAATTACAAAGGCTGCATTCTAATGGAGGTGATGAGGTCAGAAGCTGGGATGGAAATCATAAATTAATACCCCTGACATGACAAGCCACTCGCCCTTGGCTCCCGCCAAACCTTCCTCCACTGAAGTCAGAAAGACACCTAAGGAAGAAAATGCTTGATTTATTATTAATAATGGGTCAAAAGAATACCAAAACAGACACAGAACTGACACAGTATACCTGGTACTTTTCTGATGTGAACTCTGTGTAACGACAGCTATATAACCTTTGTGTGTCGCAACATCTGTAGGGGTTATTCTTCAATGTTGCTATGGGACCTCTTAAAATCTGTCCAGTTCTACACCTCTCATGCAGTTTATTGACAACCAATTTTGTGATGATTCAAAGCCGTAATTCAAAAGCCGCAAATAGATTATTTACCTGATAGTGGCGTGACTCTTGCATCTATTTATCTGTTTATTTATCTTTATGGCATGCAGGTTTCTATTGAAATGTTGCTTTCTAGACATTTGATGGAACTAATAATGTATGATGCTTATAGTTCAAATGAGCTAAAGTGCTGTCGTAAAGACAAGTGCTACCAGAAATAAGATGAATTGAGTTGTTTTTAATGAAGCGCTGTCACAAACTGAACAAAATAGCTTGACTTCGTGTTGAATCAGTACATGACGTTTTAAGCATCTGTCACTGCTTTTTTAAGCATTTGTCTAGCTTTGTCTGTGAGTGCTGGGATAATAAAGGAACAATGAGTGGATATACTGTATGTGGGATGCCGTGCTTACAATAGGATATAAATAATTTGTGTGTCTTGCATAAATCAAATCAAAATACATTCACACTTTTAGTCACTTAAGGACAAATACAGTAGATAAAAAATATACAGTAAAACTAATTAGATCAACTTAAATTTATTCAGGTTCAAGCATATCAAAGATGGGATAAAACACAATTTTTGATATTTCTTATCTATTTTTGTTGAGTCTCTGGTTTTAAGTCTTTTTTTTTTCTTTAATCTGGAATGAGGAGTGAGATAGTGTCCATGAATATACAAGTGGTGGGAGTAACTGTGGCTGGGGAGACAGAGCGGGCCGTCCACTACTAATTGGAGGGTTAGCGGTTCATTCCTTGGCTTTCGGTGTCCCATATTGAGCTGTCCCTGAGCAGATACCAAACTG